ATATTAGCATACCAAATTCAAGAACACATTAAAAGGGTTATACACCATGACCAATTCAGATTTATCCCTGGGATGCAAGGATGGTTCAACATACACCAATCAATAAATGTAATAATTCACATCAATAGAATGAAAAATAAAAATCACATGATCATCTCAATAGATTCAGAAAAAGCATTTGACAAAATCCAACACCCTTTCATGATAAAAACCCTCAACAGACTGGATATAGAAGGACATAGCTCAACATAACAAAGGCCATAGATGAGAAACACACATCTATCATTATACTCAACAGTGAAAAATTGCGAGCTTTTCCTCTAAGATCAGCAACAAGAAAAGGATGCCAATCTCACCACTTTTATTCAATATAGTACTGGAAATCCTACCTGGAGCAATTAGGCAAGACAAAGATAAAAGGCACCCAAATTGGAAAGGAAGTAAAACTGTCGTTTCTGCCAATGGTACAATTTTATACATAGAAAATCCCAATGACTAACTAAAAAAATTGTTAAAACTAATCAATGAATTCAGTAAAGTTGCAGGATATAAAATCAACAACAAAAATCAGTTGCACTTCTATATTCTAATAATGGAACATCTGAAAAAGAAACAAAGAAAATTATACCATTCACAATAGCATGGAAAACAATAAAATATTTAAAAATAAATTTAAACAAGGAAGTGAAAGATCTGTACAATGAAAACTACAAAACTGTGTTGAAAGAAATCAAAGATACAAACAAACGGAAAGACATCTCAGGTTCATGGATGGGAAAAATTAACATTGTTAAAATGTTCACACTGCCCAAAGCCATCTACAGATTGAACCCAATCCCTACCAAAATCCAATGGAAACAGAAATAGAAAAAATTCCTAAAATTTGTATGCAACCACAATAGACCCCCAAAGAGCCAAAGCAATCCCAAGAAGAAAGAACAAAGCCTGAGACGTCACAATTCCTGACTTACAACTATACTACAAAGCTACAGTAATTAAAACAGTATATGGGGCTGGCCCTGTGGCCGAGTGGTTAAGTTCACGTGTTCTGCTTCAGTGGCCCAGGGTTTTGCTGGTTCGGATCCTGGGTACGGACATGGCACCACTCATCAAGCCATGCTGAGGTGGCATCCCACACAGCACAACCGGAGGGACCTACAACTAGAATATACATAACTGGGGGGCTTTGGGGAGAAGAAGAAGAAGAAGAAAAAAAGATTGGCAATAGATGTTGGCTCAGGTGCAAATCTTTAAAAAAACACAAAAAAACAGTATGGTACTGGCATAAAAACAGACATTCAGACCCATGGAACAGAATAGCCAAGAATTAACCCTCCATATATATGGTCAACTGATATATAGCAAGGGAGCCAAGAATGCCCAATAAGGAAAGGATAGTGTCTTCAACAAACGAAGTTGCAAAAACTGGATAAACACACACACAAAAATGAAATTGGACCCCTATCTTATACCACTCACAAAAATTAACTCGAAAAGGATCAAAGGCTTAAACATAGACCTGACACCATAAAACTTCTAGTAAAAAACATAAGGGAGAACCTACTCAACACTGGTCTTGGCAACAACTTCTTGAATATGACACCAAAAGCACAAGAAACAAAAGCAAAAATCAACAAGTCAAACAGCATCAAACTTAAAAGCTTCTGCATAGCAAAAAAAACTATCAAACAAATGAAAAGGCAACCTAAGAACTGGAGAAAATTTTTGCAAACCATATTATCAGATGAGTTAATATCCAAATTATACAATGAACTCATACAACTCAGTAACGACAACAAAACTCCAATTAAAAAATGGGCAGAGGAACCAAATAGACATTTCCCAAAGAAGACATCCAAATGGCCAACAGGTACATTAAAAGATGCTTAATATCACTAACCATCAGGGAAATGAACATCAAAACCATAATGGGACATCACCTCACACCTGTTAAAATGGCCATCATCAAGAAGACAAGAGAGGGCTGGCCCAGTGGTGTAGAGGTTAAGTTTCCGTGCTCCACTTTGGGAGCCCAGGTTTGCGGGTTCAGATCCCAGGTGCAGAACTACACCATTCATCAAGCCATGCTGTGGCAGCGACCCACATACAAAATGGGGGAAGACTGGCACAGATGTTAGCTCAGGGCCAACCTTCCTCAAGCAAAAAGAGGAGGCTTGGCGGGGCCAGCCCAGTGGTGCAGGAGTTAAGTTCACATGCTCTACTTTGGAGGCCTGGGGTTTGCTGGTTTGGATCCTGGGTGCGGACCTACACACCGCTTGTCAAGCCATGCTGTGCAGGCATCCCACATACAAAAAGTAGAGGAAGATGGACACGAATGTTAGCTCAGGGCCAGTCTTCGTCAACAAAAAGAGGAGGATTAGTGGCAGATATTAGCTGAGAGCTAATCTTCCCCAAAAAATAAAACACCAAAAAAACACCGAGGTGGTTTGGCAGTGGTTGTTAGCTCATAGCCAATCTTCCTCACCAAAAAAAAAGGGCGGGGGCGGGGGGGAGACAAGTGATACTAAGGAAAAGGAACCCTTGTACACTACTACACTACACTGTTGATGGGAATGTAAACTGGTTCAACCACTATGGAAAACAATATGGAAGTTCCAGAAAAAATTAAAAATAGATCTACCATATGATCCAGCAATTCCACTTCTGGGTATATAAGCAAAGGAAATGAAAATAGGATACTGAAGAGATATATGTACTCCCATGCTTACTGCAGCATTATTCACAATAGCCAAGATATGGAAACAATCTAAGTGCCCATCAATGAATGAATAGATAAAGAAAATATGGTATATATACATACAATGGAATATTATTCAGCCATGAGACAAAAGGACATCCTGCCATTTGTGACAAAATGGATGGACCTTGAGGATATTATGCTAAGTGCGCTAAGTCAGAGAAAGACAAATACTGTATAAAACTTATATATGGAATCTAAAAAAGCCAAACTCATAAAAACAGACAGTAAAACTGGTTATCAAGGGCTGGGGGTTGGGAGATAGGAGAGATGCTGTTTAAAGTACAAACTTGCAACAAGTAGTAAATAAGCTCCTAGAGATCTAATGCACAGCATAGTGAATACAGACAACAATATTGTATTATAACCATCAAACTTACTAAGAGACTAATCTCAATTACTCCAACCACTAAAAAGAAATGACAATTCTGCGATGAGATAGAGGTGCTAATTATCGCTACACTGGCAATCATATTATAATATATAAATGTATCAAATCAACATGCTGTACGCCTTAAATTTACACAATGTTATATGTCAAATATATTTCAGTTAAAAAAAGATAAAGAATTTTGGTTCAACAAAAGGTAATATAAAGGGTAAAAGAACAAGCCACAGACTGGGAGAAGATATTTGCAATACATGTAACTGTTAAAGGATTATGATTGGGGGGACCCTCCCATAAATCAATAAAGAAAAAGACAGACAACTCCAAAGAATGATGAATAAAAGACCTGAACAACTTCTCATAAGAGGGAATCTTAATAGCTAATAAACATAGGCAAAGGTGTTCAACATAGTTAATAATCAGGGTGATGCAAATTAAAACTATAATGAGATGCTGTCACACTCCTACCAGACCGGCAAAAATTTAAGTCTGACAAGATCAAGTATTAACAAGGTGTGGAGCAAAGCAAGTACAGGTCAACATGATTAAATCTCAAAAATCATGTACAATGAAAGAAGACAACAGAATACATACAGTATGACTCTATTCAGAAAGCTCAAAAACAAGTAAAACAGTTTTCAGGGCTGTACCTATGAGAGTAGAAGCCACAAGGAAAAGCAAGGTAAGACGAGCACGGAGGGGGCGGTTCTAGGGGCTGCTCATCTATTTGTTCATCTAGGTGGCAGTTAACCAAGTATTTCCTTTATAATTATCAAATTGCGTATGTTATATCAACTTTCCTAAATTTAATTCACAAAAATAATTTCTAAAACTTCCAGGAACATTAAAGACCCAGTTGTAAAAACAAAAGTTCATAGGAGAAAATAGTATATTTGTGACCTCAGGATTGAGGATTTCTAAAAGTCATGACAAACAAAAAACATAAAGATTGATAAATTAAATATTAAAAGGTTTTAAAAAACATGTATATAGAACACAAACCAAAAAGTTAAACACAGATTGGGAGAAAATACTGGCAGTGCTTAACTTACAAAGGATTAGTATGCAGAAGAACCAACTTCAATAAGGAGAAACACCCACACACCCCCAAAGTTTTAACTGGTGAAAAGAAAAGAACAGGCAATTCACAAAAGAGGAATCCCAAACGCCCACTAACTATACAAAAAGATGTTCACATGACCTTACGAGTAGTCAGGGAAATGCATTTTAAAATTATACTAACCCACCATTTCACACCCAACTGACTGGCCAAACGTTTACAGTCTGACCAGGTCAAGCGTTAGCAAGCACAAAGAGCATATTCTGCTGATGGTAAAAACATGATAAAACCACTTTGCAGAGCAAAGGGAAAACCTCCTGAAGTTGCACAAACCTAATATGACCCCACATCCTACTCTTGATATATATCCCAGGGAAACTCATAAGATCAAGACGTGCTCTGCAGCCTTGTTCATTCTCATGACAAACCGGGAGAAAACCTGAATACCCATCAACAGGAAAACTTAACTGTGGCAGGTATATGTGGAATCTGTATAGATAATAAAATCAATAAACAGTTTATATTTATTAATGCAGATAAGTCAAAATATTGAGAGAAAAAAGCAAACTGTAGAGGGATACATAGAGTATGAAATAATATATACTGATTTATGGACACAATGTAGTAAAAGAATGAAAAACAAGAATGAGAATACTGTCGGGGGAAAATTAACTTGGGGAGTAAGATACAGAGGGGCTTCAATTATATTTACAATGTTTTATTTCTTAAATTGGGTGTAAATTCTCTATTCTTTAAACTGAAATATTTTATAAAAAGATCACGCAACTTCTTACCTTGTGTTGATAAATAGCTTTTCTTATATTTTTCTACCTGGGTTCCTGAAGAAATCTGACTCTTTTGAAATTGGACTGATGAATTCTATAATATGAGACAATTTTGAATATAAAATTAGTGTTAGTCTACATATTAGCACAATGAATGAAACTAACAGAACTCAGTTTGCAGTGAGAACATTCTAAGTTTGTCCATTCATGTTGTTCTCATCTATCACTATCAGCCAGAGTGAACAAGCTGTTATCTATGAATGAACTACACACCAACACACACCACCTTTGGAAATACATTCATTCTTCAAGTGACAGCATAACAGACAATGTAAAACAAAACAGTTTTCTGTGACTGTGACCAGATTAGCCAGAGGACAAGGCAGGAACTCATGGTCCACATCCACAAACCCTCCAATCTCAACCTGTGAACGCGTCCCTCACCATCTTGCTCTAACACTCAAACTGAGCCCTAGCTGCAGCTGAGAAGATTGCTCATCACTGTCCACTGCCAGGGATGGAAGTTTCTTGCCTTCAGAGCTCACACCCCTAGGTTTAGAGGTAGGGTAGATGTCCACCTTGCTACCCATCACCGCTTCCAACAAAACTTCTCTTTCTCCCCACTAACCACCCTGCCACAGCTGTGTGTCTCACATCCATGTACTTGCCACCATGCACCCTCCTTGCGAGGAGATGACAGTGCAATGCCTTCACTTCCGTTTCTTGACCTACTCTCCCTCCAATCTGTACTCTATCCTACCTCAACCATGCACTCCAAAGGGCACAATCTGGAACTAGTCATTATCAATACCTACAATTATCAATAACTGCAAAAATCTCGACTTCAAAGCATTCAAATCCAGAATGTGGGGCATTCTACAAAATTACTAGCCTGGTCTATTCAAAAAGCCAATACAATTTAATAAAATGCTAAAGTATTTAGGGGTGAGATGCCATGATTTCTGCAATTACCTTCAAATGGTTCAGCAAAATACATATACATATATTTGCATACGGCAAAATGTTAACAGTGCTTGCATCTAGGTGAGCAGTCAGGTGTTCATCGTACTATTCTGTCAAAGTTCTCTATTTGGGGAAGCTTCACAATAAAATGTTTGGGGAAGAGGGGAGAATTCCACTTTCTAACTACCATATCCCATCCCTCCAGCTCATTCCTCTAATACCCTGACACCAACAATGCTTACAGCCTACAGGGTCCTACAATTCATTGATCCATGAGTTTTGTATGTCCCTCCAAACCTTGCAGCCCATGCCCTTCTTATGCAGCTTCAAGCCATGGTTCACTGCAGTCACTCTTGTCGCACATACTATTTCCATGCCCCTCTCTCACTCTGTGGGCGCCTGGATGACCACACCTCTTCTAAAATATAACTCTTCACCCCCTACACCCAAAAAGCTGAAAAAGAAAAAAATAATGTCAACAACTCTCTTGAAATATATGGTCTCTAACCTACATGGGCCCCCAATGCACCCCAGGAATCAACCTACACTTCCCCAGCCCCGTTGCTTTCCACTCTCTTAGACAACTATTTCACACTTCCTCCCATCTCCTCAAGCCTCCTACAACTCCTCCATCCTCACTCTCAGCTGATGACTGCGCTCCCACTTCGCTGAGAAAGTTAAAGCCTTAGGAGGGAACTTCCTACCAACGGGCACCACACCTCTAGCCTGCAGTCCATAGCTTAGACTTTCTGTTACTAGGAATGAACTATTCGTGCTCCTGGCCAAGGCCAGGCCCCTACTTCGTTCCCTACATCCCCTCTTCTCTCATGCAGGAACATTGCTTTAACAACTCTCTCACTTTCTCCTGCATCAATATTTGCCTCTCTACTGAAGCAATTCTACCAAATACACAAACACTTGTTAATTTTCCCATCTTAAAGAAAAATCTTCCCCTACAGCCACTACCCCATCTCCTTACATTTACCGCAGAACTTCTCCACAAAGCTCTTACTCTGTCTGAAACCGCCCATTCTCTTATCCAGACAGGCTTTTATCTTCAACACATCTCTACTTTGCAAATCCAGTGACCAATATCCAGTTCTCATCTTACTGAGGAGCATCATTGACACTGCTGGCCACTCTCCTCTCTGAGGTACTTCTTTACTCGGCTCTCAGGGCACCACACCAGCCTCCTTTACCTCATACTCACTGGTTGTTCACCTGCCTCATCCTCCTGCTTTTCACAACCTGGATCAGTACTTGGATCTCTTCACTATCCACTTTCAGCCTTGGTGATTTCTCCCAGCCCAAAGCTTTACCACACATTCCGATAACTCCAAACTTCTAGCTCCACCCTGACCGTCTCCTGCTATATGTATAACTGCCCAGTTAACATCTCCACCTCATGTCTAATAGGCACTTCAAACTTATCTTCTCTAAACCTGAGCTCCTAATAGCTATGCCCCTGAGAAATATGTGTTCTCTTCTTGTGGTCCCTCATTATAAATGGAAATTCTATTAGGCCAAAAAGCTACACTGAACTTGGAAGCCACTCTTGATTCCTTTCTTGCTGTCACACCCCATATCCAGTTCATCAATAAATCCCAGCCACTCCTCAACTGTCCACGGCCACTGGCCCAGTCTAAGCCACCATCATATCTGGTCTGAATTACTGCCAACAATCGCCACACTCCCCCCTCAGTCTATTCTTTAGTCTACAGCACAGAGAGTGAGCTTACTAAAATAAAGCATTAGCCCACCCCTCAGTCAAAGCCCTCAGGGGAAATTAGCCCTCCCCATGTCACTCAGAGGAAAAAGCCCAAGTGCTTGCGGGAATCTATTAAGGCCTAATGAAATCTGTACCCACCACCCTCCGTCACGTCTCAGATCCCCTACTATTCTCCTCACTTACTCTACTCCAACCACACCAGCCTCAGGCCTTGCTCACTGTCAGGCAGATGGCCTCCAGGCCTCGGGGCTCCTCTCTTGCTCTGCTCCTCACCTGGGCTCAGCCTGGTTTACGCACGCCTCTCCTTAGGCCATGATTCAAACGGCACTTTCTCAGTAAGGCCTTCCTGGGCCATCCTATCTAAAACTCAACACCCCTAACCCCAACAGTTATCTCCACTTCCTTGCCTTTTCTCCTTACTTCTTGTCATTATGGCACACACCATATATTTTATTTATTTATCTTATTTACAGTCTTTCTCCTGTCACAAGAATATAAGTTCCAAGAGGGTACGGAAGTCGGTCTGTTGTTCTCACTGCTTTATACCCAGTGCCTAAAGGCAGTGTCGGGCACACCACAGCTGTGAATACAGATGAATGAAAGACCAATTACTTGATTCAAAAGGATCATATGCATGTGACTTTCTGCAAAAACTTCACTTCGCTGTTTTAACTGAGAGTATCTGCCTATTGTGGCATAATTCCTTCATAAGAATTATAAAAGTGAACTTGAAAACTACCTGTATAGCAATGCTCAAAACATTTTTTATTGTGGTAAACTATATATAATAAAATTTACCATCTTAACCATTTTGAAGTGTACAGGTAATGGTGTTAAATACATTCACATTGTCGTGCTACCATCACCACCATCCATCTCCAAAACTCTTTTCATCTTGCAAAACTGAAACTCTAGACTCACGAAACAACAACTCCTCATTTTCCCCTCCCCAGCCCTGGCAACCACCTGTCTACTTTCTGCCTCTATGAATTTGACTGCTCAAATATTTAACATCTTCCCCTGACTTGACACAACCAGCTGGCCTCCAAACCTACCATGGACCCATCTTTTTTCACAGCAGTCACACACTGCCCCGTCTTGGTGCTGCTCTCGGTAGCTTCTGCTTTCTTCCAGGCATCTAGTCGGAATCTTTCCATCACTTTTATTTCTTCCCGGAGGTCTGTGTTCTCTTTGACCAAAACTTCTATCTGGCTTCTAAGACGACCATGTGTGCTTGACCATTTTGCTTCCTTTCTTTTCAAATCTTCCTGTAAATCTGCTATCTGCTGTTTCAAAGCCTCTCAAAAAAAAAGCATTACCAGAATTACAACAATGCAACAGAAGACAAGAGGCACAGTAACGAAAAAGAACAGCTAGAACGAGCACAGACAGTAGAAAAGGGAAGACTTAGTCAATCACATTTCAATAACACCGGGTTCTCCAGGAAGGGAAGAGGGTTCAGGCTACCTCATACCACTAACGAAATTCATTCCAGAAGTCAGGAGAGAGAGTTCACTGCAGTAATACTGCCAGGAGGTAACAGAGGTCTCAACTCAGATAGGAAATGAAAAAGAAACAGATAAACGGGGGACACCTGGTGAAGAAAAAAATTAATAGGAATTTATGACTAATTGAAAGAAGACCTAAGGTAAAGGGAAGAATAAAAGATGCAAAGTCAAAACTACCAGCCCTGAAAACTGATTCTTTTTGGAATTCATAAGAAGAAACAGGTTTTAAGAAAGTAAGTTGTTCTAGATGAAGTAAATGACATTAAGTGAAGACACTCCTGGAAATGTCTAGAAGCAACTTCCACCTGTACAAATAGAAATCAAGACAGACATGAGAACTAAGGAGAGATTAGTCATCTACATGGCTTATGTAGGGCAAGTTATGAGGACTGGCTGAGAGTTGAGGAAAGGAGAACAGACAGAAGCAAGACAGCATTTACCACCTGAGAACCCACTCAGATAGGAGACTGAAGGCTGCGAAGAACCCTAACCACCTCATGAATACACACGTAAAATCTGACATCCGTCCTTTCCCATGTAAGCCTCACAACAGCCAACAAAGTAGACCACATGGCAGAAGAAGTAACTAGGGCTCAGAAGACTCCTGCTTGGGGGGTTATATCACACAGAGCAGAGACTCTGCATCTGGGTGAGATCAAGGCTCGAATTCTCATTATGTGCCATAAAAGCTCTTGAAACAAGGTCATTAACCTCCCTAAACATCAGCCTCCCTACCTATAAAATCGTGGAGTATAACCAATAAATGAGCAATTTCTAACTGGTGAGCATTTTTACCATGTGGGAAAATAGACTTATTAACACTAACATGGTAACAAATAATTCTAAATAGGTTAGGAATTCAAAGGCAAATAAGCGAGACAGAGAAAGACAAATACTGTATGGTATCACTTATATGTGGAATCCTAGGGGGGAAAAAAGCTGATTTCATAAAAGCAAAATAGAAGGGTGGTTCCCAGGGGCTGGCGGGAGAGGGAAATGGAGTGACGTAGTCAAAGGATACAAACTTCCAGTTATAAGAATAAATTCTGAGAAGCTAACGCACAGCATGGTGACTATAGTTGATAATACAGTACTTGATACTTCAAAGTTGCTAAGAGTAGATCTTAAGCATTCTCACCACACACACACAGAGTTAGCTATGTAAGGTGATGGTTAATTATCTTAATTTTGATAATCACACCACAACGTATGTGTATACCAAATCATCACACTGTACACTTTAAATGTATACAATTATACCAATGCTACTGCCACAAAAAAAAAACGTGTTAAGAGTGTAAAAAAATAAAAAATAATTTTTATGTTGATTGCATGCGGAAATGATAATATTTTGGATAGACTGAGTTAAATAAAATGCATTATTAAAATGTTTTAATTTTTATTTTGTTTTTTGATAAAAATAAATATAAATAAATACATACAATTAATTTGAACAGATATTTCTCCAAAGAAGACACACGACGGCCAACAGGTACATGAAAGGATGTTCAACGTTATTAACTATCAGGGAAATGCAAATCAAAACTACAATGAGATATCACGTCCCTCCCTTCAGAATGGTTATAACTAACAAGACAGGAAACAACAAGTGTTGGAGAGGATGTGGAGAAAAGGGAACTCATACACTGCTGATGGGAGTGCAAGCTGGTGCAGCCAGGATGGAAAACAGTATGGAGATTCCTCAAAAAATTAAGAATAGAACTACCATATGACCCAGCTATTCCACTGCTGGATATTTATCCAAAGAACATGAAAACACGAATGCAAAAATATACATGCACCTCTATGTCCACCAGAGCAGTATTCACAATAGCCAAGACTTGGAAGCAATGTAGGTGCCCATCAAGCAAAGAACAGATAAAGAAGAGGTGGTATATATACACAACGGAATGCTACTCAGCAGTAAGAAATGATGAAATCCAGCCATTGTGACAACATGGATTGACCCTGAGGGTATTGTGCTAAGCGAAATAAGTCAGAGGGAGAAAGTCAAATACCACATGATCTCACTCATAAGTTGAAGATAAAAACAACAAACAATCACATAGAGAAATAGAGATTGAACTGGTGGTTACGAGAGGGGATGTGGGGAGAGGGGAGAGCAAAAGGGGTGATTAGGCACATGTATATGGTGATGGATTGTAATTAGTCTTTGGGTGGGGAACATGATGTAATCTACACAGAAATTGAAATATAATGATGTACACCTAAAATTTATATGTTATAAACCAATGTTATCACAATTAAAAAAATAATAAAAAATAAATTTTAAATATATATACAATTAAATTTTTCAATTATTCTTCAATAACATTAAAAAAATAATTCATTAGCAATTAATATTTATAAAATATCTATCAACTATCAGGTACTATTATAGGTCCCTGGAATACAAAGAACAAAACAAAGATTGCAGGGAGAGTTATTTTGGAAAGTGACACGGGGCTATGGAAGAAAAAGCCAGGTAGGTAGGAGGAATTAGTGTGGCTGGGGATAGAGGCATGTGCAGGGAAGGTGAGCTGCAGTACTAAATATAAACATGGCAGGTCTCATTGAAGAAGGACCTGAAGGAGGTGGAGAACGAGCCACATGGCTGTCCAGGGGAAGAGCATTCCCAGAAGCACCAGCAAACACACCAGGAAGAAGGGTGCCTGGCACAGCTGCAGAACAGCAAGGAGGCCAGCGAGCTGGGGCAGAATGCACAAGGGGGAGCAGCAGATGACGTGAAAAAGGTAAAAGAACACCAGATCATATAGGAACTTGAGGCCGCTATGAGGACTGGGGCTATTACAAGACAAAAGGGGAGCCATGGAAGGGCCATGAGCAGAGAGGGGACATGACCTAGTTTCCTAATGGAAGAATCCCCAGCCACTGCATGGCAAAGAAACCGCAGGGACAAGCGTGACAGCAGAGACCACACGGCCAGCTAGTCCACTAACTCCGAGATGGCAATTCAAATCTGGGTAAGTTCTCTGACAGAATAGCATGGAGTATAAGAAAGAGAGAAGAGAATGATTCTAGGTTTCTGGCCCGAGCACATGGAAGGTCCAGGTGGCCGTCACCTGAGATGGGAGACGGCTGAGGGAGGGAAGACCAGGAGTGTACTTTCAGACATAACAAGGTGAAACGTCAGTAGCTAGTCAGATATACCAGACCAGTACAGAGAACAGTCTAGGCCAGGATTTAAGTTGGGGAATTTAGAATATAAATCATAATGTGCGCCATGAAACTCAATGAGGTCATCAAGGGAGGACACACTCTCCTCCCTGATGGATGAACTCCACCAGTAAGTTAAAGAGGACAAAAAAGCAAAGGAGAGTAAGATGAGTCAAGCAGCCCAGGGAAGGGAAAAGCTCAAGCATCAGGCATCCTGAGAGTCAGAAGAGTGAAGCCTGTGATGAGGAGTCATGTGCTGCTTATGAACAAGTCACACGAGGACCGAGAACTGGCCACCGGTCTACCATCCGAGGGGCTGGTGATCGACAGGGGCAGTTCCAGAGCCGTGGTATGGATGGAAGCCTAACTGTAGCGTGTATAGAGAGAACAGGAGGCGAGACCTCGAGACAGTGATACAGACAATGCTTTCAAGGAGTTTTGCTGCACAGGAACAAAGAAAGAAGGTTGTGGCTGACACGGGGCATGGAGAGATTTTAAGAAGTAACACCAAGTGTGTACACTGATGGAAAGATTCAGTAGAGAGTGGAAGATGGATGTTGTGGGAGAGACAGAGAAGAAATGCTGGAGCAGGGGTGTAGGTGTGAAAAGGTGAGACCTGGTATGTAAGCAGGGCTTTACCTACAAGCATGGACAATACATCTAAGCACAGAGGGAGGCAGAGCACATGGGTTCAGATGCCACAGGTGGCACCAAGGGTAGGGTCAGGGGGAAGTTCTCAGCCAAGTAGAAAGCAGGGTCTTTAGGAAAGAGTGAGGCCTCCACAAAGTGGGAGGCTTAAGAAGGGGGAGAGTACGAAATGGTCCTCTAGGAGAGTGGGAAAGGAGGCAGGATGGAAATATTACAGGCCCACTTGTGGTTCCTGCTCACAATTTTAGGGTAAGCCTGTTCCCTGTGAAATTTTTCTTCCAGCTAAATTAAGTGTTATGGGCACAGGGATGGAGTAGGCAGGAAACATAGGGTTGTAGTTTTGCCAAACAAAATCTGATGACTTGAGAAATGAGAGTAAAGAATATAAAGTAATGATTATAGTGACTGACTCTGGGGTGTAAGAACATAAGGGGCAGGTGAGTCGGATCAATGGTTTGAAAGCCCTAATGGAATGAAGGATTACTGGGGTGGAGTAATAGAGGGAGTGACAAATATTCATGTGCTTGCTCACAAAAGGCTAGGAAATAGAGTTTAAAATAAAAGCCAGAGTTTGCGAGTATTAATAACTGGGGGAATAGAGGCTGTCCAGTCTTACAGCTGTGGGAAACATAATCAAAAACAGGCTTACCAAAAGCAGTTTTGCACTAAAAGAACAATACGTCAGACAAATAAGCAGAAAGAGAAAGGTTACTGTGAGGCAGAGAAAATACAACATACAAATGTAGAGACGGGAAAGAAAGGCTGGGGAAAGGGTCTGTCCAGGGGAACAGCGCAAGACTTGCAAGGGAGGAAGGAACGCCACTATGAAGGGTCTTGTATGGCACGTGAAGGAGTTTGTATTTTTATCCCAAGAGGAAGCCAACTGAAGGATTCTGAACAGGAGAAGAACGTCAGGTTTCGTGTCAAAAGATCACTCTGACAGCAAGGGGAGGACAGAAGTGGAGAGGAAAGAGGGAGAGACAGAAATCAAGCTAAGAGATGAATGAAGAACAGAGAGACAGGTCAGACATGCAAGGAGGTGGGAGGAAGAGAAAAGGGCCAGGATTGAAAAGATACACAGGAGATAAAGTCAAAAGAACTTACTGTCTGATGGGATTGGAAAGCGGAAGAGGTCCAGATTTCTATCCCAAGTGAATGGGGAAAAAGTCAGAAGGAAAGGCAGAGTTAGTAGGTATAGGATAAGTCACGTTTGAAACTCTCAGATAGAGCCAGCCACCTCACTAGACAGCGCCTCACAATCCTGGGCACTCAAATATCAGCTGAAAGAAGAAACAGATACACAGGTCTGTAGTTCAGTAAAGATCTGCCTGAAAATCAATGTGTAAGTTATCAATGAAACCTCAATGTATGAGAATCAGAATAAAGTTACATGATTAAGACAGAAAAATCAATGTGAACTCATGACTTCAGAGAGACACTGCCCTTCCCCAGTTCTGCCATTAGGACAGGAACCAATAGCAAGGAGAGCATGGAGGCCTACTGCCAATCCTCAGTGAACTCCTAATGGTAGAATAAAAGAAACAGGGCTCCTTGGAGGACAGCTAATTCAGATCTGGGGTAGGTTTAAGGGGGGGGGAAGCAAAAACCAGGTGGTCTCAGGGCTGGCCCAGTGGCATAGTGGTGAAGTTTGCACGCTCCGCTTCAGGAGCCTGGGGTTCACGGGTTTGGATCCCAGGTGCAGACCTACACACTGCTCATCAAGCCATGCTGTGGCAGCATCCCATATACAAAATAGAGGAAGATTGGCACAGATGTTAGCTCAGAGCCAATCTTCCCCACGAAAAAAACAAAAACAAAACAAAAAACACCAGGCGGTCTGATATAACCAATTGTCACAGAAAGCAGGGATACTTTCAAAAATTCAAGAGCAATGACAATGCTACAGAACAAGAAGCTGATGTACTTAAAGGAGCTCCCACTGGTCAAGTTGGGACCACTTGATTATCAAAAAGGAAATTTTGTAATTAATTAGACTAACTTCAGTTTGTGAAAGGCTGTAAGTCAATAACGATGAATGTTAATTCCAGGAAGACAGAAATGTCTTACTCATCAACAATTCCCCAGTGCTAAGAACAGTATCCAGTCATAAAGAATTCTCAATAAATTTGCTGAATGAATTCTCAAGAGTTAATATTTTTAAAAACAGCTATAATATAAAGGAAGGTTAACTATACCATCTCTTTAATCTTTGAATGATTTAATAAGTAGAAGAGTATCAGTAATACAGGTTTGTTTTCTATTAAGTATTTATCTGTTTTTAAAGTATGTGTTTCCAGGGGCCAGCCTGGTGGCTTAGTGGTGAACTTCTGCATACTCCGCTTCAGTGGCCCAGGTCTGGTTCCTGGGTGTGGACCTACACCACTCATCAGCCATGTTGTGGCAGTGACCCACATACAAAACAGAGAAGACTGGCCAGACGTCAGCTCAGGGCGAATCTTCCTCAGCAAAAAATAAATAAGTAAAGTATGTGTTTCCACAGTAGAAGCACAAAGAAGGGTAAATATAGGAAACTATGAATAAGCCAAAGAGTGTAAAAAAAGAAGGAACTGTACCCAAAACAGAAAGAAATAATGACTACCCCTCGTTACCCATGGTAACGAAGTATGAAAAGAGTCCAATACTTAAATCAACACTAATAGAGTAGAAGGAAGGTTTAAGAATGAATTATGAAATAGTCTAACATCCTAAAGAGAAGAGCTAACTCACCAATCCAACTCCTCACCTCCCAGAGATGAGGCCTGTAGATCAACACTGGCCAGAATCCAGGAGATAAGGCCTCTAGATGAACACTGTCCAGAACTTTCTGCAAGGATGGATATGTCCTAGACCTGTAGTGTCCAGTGTGATAGCTTACCAGCCACACATGGCTATTGAGTAACCTGAAATGTGGTTAATGTGACTGAGAAACTGAATTTTCAGTTTTATTTAATTTCAATTACCCTCAATTTAAATAGCCACAGGCGGCTAATGGCTAGCAGACTGGACAGAACAGGCTTAGAGAATAAGAGGATACAATACCTGAGGGAAAAGCATCAGGTTGCAAGAAAGTAAAATCTAAGTGTTATTCACATAAAGTAAAGTAAAACCATATCAAGAAAGCTTGTCCACTCTGGTTTGAATCACACTGGAAGTTGGAATCAGGCCCTGAGCCATGAGAAAGAGGGGAAGGCAGGGGAATCAATCTTATAATCTCAGGTAGTCTGAGAAGGTTTTTTCTTGCCTTTCGGGTCTCAGAAAATTTTCATAACATAGCAAGGTATCAAAATAAGCATTGCTTTACTCCTGGGAGATTCAGAAACAAGAAAAATGAAATGACAAACCCACTGTACAGATATGTTAGAACAGGCCATGGTTTTAATATAGTGAAAGGTTTTCTGATAGCTGAATTTGATTTTTACTACTGTATTATAGGTCACTTAATCTATAATCTTAATCTGTATTATAGACTATTTAAAAGAAATTCAAGTAAGTTTAGTATCAATTTTTAATCTTTTACCTTTCAGGTAAAGAGCAAAAAAAACACTAATAATTGATAGTAGAATTAAAAACTGGCATGGCATTGGGGCTGGCCTGGTGGTGTAGCAGTTAAGTTTGTGTGCTCCACTTTGGCAGCCCGGGGTTCAATGATTCGGATGCCAGGTGCAGACCTAGCACCGCTCATCAAGCCATGCTGTGGCAGGCGTCCCACATATAAAATAGAGGAAGATGGGCACGGATGTTAGCTCAGGGCCAATCTTCCTCAGCAAAAAGAGGAGGATTGGTAGCAGACGTTAGTTCAGGGCTAATATGCCTCAAAAAGAAAAGAAAATTGGCGTGACATTTATGGAGGGATAATCTTACAATGTCTACCAACATTCATACCCTTTAACCTAGAAATTTCACTTCCAGGAGTTTTTCCTACAGATATACTTGAATACGTAAGCTACATGGGGGCAAGGATGAATTTGTTTTGCTCACTACTGTATTCCCAGGACACGCCTGCTAAGTAGCAGGTATCCAATAACCAGGTGCTGAATGACCAAACAGAAGAACGACTGTGAGAGGCAATGTACATACAAAGTTATTCAGGACGGCACTTGTTATACACAGAAAAAGAACAGAAATAACATAAATGCTTAGTTAAGGAAATTATGGCACATCCCTATAACACAATTCTATTCAATGGTGAAATAAAGAATGAAGATGCTCCTTATGTTAAGATACAGAATGATTTCAGTACACTATTGTTAATTTTTTTTTTAATTAGGAATATATATACGTATTTGCTTAGAATTTCTCTGGAGAAATACAAGAGATTGGTAACATTGGCTGCTTCAAAAGAGAGGTGAATTAAGGGCCAGAGCGAGGGTGAGAGAGAGAGGTTTCACTGCATATCCTTTTCTACTTTCTGAATGGGAATATATTACCTTTTGAAATAAACATTTTAACAGATTACTAAAGTCTAACATATTAGATTTAATAAACTAAGCATTAACCAAAACCTAGTGGCACATTTCACCGACAAAAACAAATAAATGGAATTAAAGACCCTAACCAACAGGACGTGTGATAACTTAAGCTAGAGGTGTGCAGATGAGACTGTTCAAGGATAGTGTACTACATGGGAAAGGAAGAAAGCAAAGGACGGAACTCAAAAACACTAGTATTTAAAACATGATATATGGAAAAAAAACTAAATACAGAAGTGGAAGGTGAGCTTGCATTTTATGTTATAAGCAATGGACAGTCATTTAAAATTTTTCTTTTCATAAACTGAAAGTCTTACTTTTGATGAAGTCCAATATATCTATCTTTTCTATTTTGTTCTTCGTGTCTTCTCTTGCAAATCTTTGCATATGCCAACGTCATGAATATATTCACCTAAGTTTTCTAGGTTTATAGTTTTAGCTAGAAATGCATTAGTTCTTTTTAACTACTACATTCCTCTAGTCATGTCTATTTCTAACTTTGAAATAAATAGGACTGATAATTTGGCCTATCAGTTTCTAAGTCTTAGAATTAAACAGCTAGTTAGTATATAGGCCTTAAAGTATTACAAATGAACAGAACTAACAGTATTTGGTGTGCAGTGGGTCAAAGAGATTAACACAACACTACACTGGTGAATTTCCAACTCCTGGCTTGTTAATTCATTCACGTCACTATCGTAGTCTTTTTTTGGGAAGCCTTTAGTAAGAAAAGAAGTGATATGTTTCACTCCTTAAAAGTCAAACTACAAAAGATGTTCCTGATGCAGTATCTCAGAAAGATTACTTGTTGAGTTAACGGATGATTAATAAGTTGATACCCAATTTCTCTTTGACACATCAAATAACTCTGAGATTCTTACAAAACTGTCATCTTTACTAACTTATATGAGTATAAGGTAAAAAACTGGCATACCTGTATTTCTTCACGTTCCTTTTTATCTGGAAAAGTTCTTGCAACTGTAGCATACTTTTCAAAAACTTTGCGTTCTTTTTGTAGCTTCCTCATTTCCTCCTTTTTAAACTCTTCTATTCGAGCTAATTCTTTTGCTTTCTGTTGTTCAAAGTCTGCAATTTCTTTCCTAAAATGACCAAACCATGTTAACATCTAAGGAGACTATTTCGACATAGTAATCCATATGTGGTGCCAAAATGGAACACTGGTGACGGCCTGTCATTGCAGAGCTGAGAGTGTGGGTGAATCCATCTTCAATCCACAGTTCTGAAACTCAATAAGGCATCGCTCCCACAAGCATTCATCGAGCACCTACTATGAATCAAGCACCACACCAGGTACTGGAGAAACCACAGTGAAAATAATAAGCATCCATATTCCTGTGAAGCTTCTTACCTTCTAATGGGAGAGAGAAATGATGATAAACAAGATAAATAAGTGAAATATATGGAACATTAGTGGTGTTAAAGAGAAAAATAAACCAAGGAATGAGTTAGGAAATATCAGGGTAGAAGACTGAAATTAAGGATAGGGTCATCTTTCTGAGATAATGTTTGAAGTAAAACCTGAAGGAAGTGAGACAACAGTCATGAAGATATCCGAACAAAACAGTTCAGGCAAAGGGAACACCACATGCAAAACTCCAGAGGTAGAAATAAGCTTGATGTGTTCAAAGAACAGCCAGGAGGCCAGTGTGGCTAAAAAAAGAGTGAGCAAGAGAAAGAACAATAGCAGAAAACGTCAAAACAAAAAAACAAAAAAACCCCAGAGGGCCAGATGGATTAGAGTCTTACACACACCACTGTGAGGACTTTGGTATTTAGCTTAGGAGAATGTCAAGCAGAAGAACTGTCATAAGGCAGGTTCATTCTAGATGCTGAGTTAAGAGCACAGGGAGAGTGGCATCAGCAAGATGGTGGAATAGGTTGTCTGTGGCTCACATACTCCCCCACAAACAACAATCTGACAGCCATTCATGGACAAAAGTGCTTTTGTGGGAGCTCTAGGATCCAGGTAGGAGGTAGAGAAACCCAGTGAAGCCTAAGATCAAGGACAGCCACTCTGAAAAGGCAGGCCTGTACCCCAGTAGCAGCACCAAACGTTGTCCAGGCTGTAGACCAAAACCACCCTGGTCTCCCTGTGGACTCAGCTCCAGCGCCATCTGCCAAACGACCTGGCAGAAGCCATGCCCACCTGTGCCCTTGGTAACAGGCCCACGGACCTCGGTTCCAACTACAGATCCTGAAACAGACCCGTGACTCAGCTCCAGCCCTGCTCTACCATGGTACTGGAGGTAGTCCTGCCCACCCAGGGAACCAGCAGGAGGATACCCAGGGGCCCAGCAGGATGATGCTCAGAAATCAGACAGGAATCACACCCACAATCACTCTTGGTAATAGACCCATTGCCTGCAGATTTAACAGTGGACCCAAAAGCAGCCCCATGACTTAGCTCCAGCCTTGCTTGACTGTGGTCCCAGAAGCAGTCCTGTCCAACTGGGGCTCCAGCAGCAACCATGCCCCCCAGTGCCCCTGGTACCACGCCTGCCAACTGTAGACCCTATTTTGGACCCAGAAGCAGCCATGAGATCTGGCTAAAACCCCACTCGATCTGTGATGCTGGAAACAGACTCATCAGTCCAGGGATCCAGCAGGAGAAGGTCTTTACTTGCCAAAACCAATCTGTAAAGACAGGAAGAGGTGTTTGCTCTTTCAAATGCAAAGACGTCACCACAGGCTACAGGGATCATGAAGAATCAGGCCAACACAACACCACCAAAGGAAACTAATAAAGCTCCAGTAACCAATCCCAAAGAAAGGGAGATATACAAATTGCCTGATGAAGAATTCAAAATAATTGTTTTAAGGAAGCTCAGCAAGCTACAAGAGAAAACAGATAACTCAACAAAATCAGGAAAAGAATACATGAAACAAAATGAGAAGCTCAACAAAAAGAAAGAAATCATAAAAAAAGAACCAAATAGAAATTCTGGAACTGAAGAATACAATAAATAAAGTGAAAAAATGCAACAGAAAACTTCAACAGCAGATTCAATCAAGCAGAAGAAAGACTCTCTGAACTCAAAGACAGGTAATTTGAAGTTATCCAGTCAAAGGAGAAAAAAGAATAAAAAAGAACAAAGAAAGCCTATGGGATTTATGGGAGACTGTAAAATGAACCAATATATGCATTATGAGAGTCTCAGGAAGAAAAATCCACACAAAATTGACAAACCCTCAAATAGACTAAGAAAAAAAGAGAAAAGACTCAAAATCATAAATGAAAGAGGAGACATTACAATAGATGTATCAGAAAGAAAAAAGATCATATTATGAACAATCATATTCCAAAAAATTGGAATAACCTAGCAGAAATGGATAAATTCCTAGAAACATACAACCTACCAAAACTGAATCTAGAAGAAACAGAAAGCCTGACAGACCAATAACATAAGGAGACTGAATCAGTAATCAAGAACCTCCTAACAAAGAAAAGTCCAGGACCAGATGGCTTCATAGGTAAATTCTATCAAACATTCAAAGAAGAATTAATACCGATCATTCTTAAACTCTTCCAAACAAGGAAGAAGGAATACTTCCGAACTCATTTTATGAAGCTAGTATCACTCTGATATCAAAGCCAGACAAAGATACCACGAGAAAAGAAAACTACAGGCCAATATCTCTGACAAACATAGATGTAAAAACCCTCAGTAAAATACTACCAAACCAAATTCAACAGCACAGTAAAAGGATTATACACCATGACCAAGCTGGATTTATCCCTGGGATGCAAGCTTAGTTCAACATATGCAAATCAATTAATGCAATATAACCTGGTGTAGCCACTGTGGAAAATTATGGCAGTTCCTCAAATACTCAAGTATAGAATTACCATATGATCTGGCAATTCTACCCCTAGGTATATATCCAGAAGAATTAAAAGCAGACATTTGAACAGAGATTTGTACACCAATGTTAATGGCAGCATTATTCACAATAACCAAAAGTAGGAACAACCCAAATGTCCAGCTGCAAGTCAGGGAATACCAAGGATCGTCAGCAACCACTAGAAGACAGGAGAGAAGTATGGCTCTGCTGACACCTTGACTTCAAATTTCTAGCCTCCAGAACCCTGAAGAAATAAATTTCTGTTGTTTTAAGCCACTCAGTTTGTGTGTACTTTGTTACACTTAGAGCAACTCCAGGAAATTACTACACTGGCCACGGCAGCACTTGAATTCATGGCTCCAAACTGCTTTCCAAATTTCAATTCATGATCTCGTCAACTAAAAATTCTTTTAACACATCTCTGACCACAATGGGTTATTTAATTAAAAAATTCCTATGTGGTATAGATTTCAATTCCTTTTCATTTATACTACTGGACTGATAAAAATTGTTTCAAATATTTTAGATATAATCTTAAAGATAAAACAATCACTGCAAACTTACCTGAGTTTTTCCAAGGCTCTTTCTCGTTCAATGCGAAGTTTAGCTAAAGACGTGTTCTCAGCTTTAAATTTTTCTATTTCCATTTCCAATTCAATAACTTTCTCTCTCAAAACTTGAGATCGAGCACTGTCAACTACAAAATAGGCCATAAATATTGAACTTCACAAAGGGCCTTCAGCAGCAAAACCACTAGCTAGCTCTATTAACTCTAAGAGCCAAAAATATGGTAAACAACTGTACAATTAAAATGCTATGCTTCGGGGCTGGCCCCGTGGCCAAGTGGTTAAGTTCGCACACTCCGCTGCAGGCGGCCCAGTGTTTCATTTGGTTCGAATCCTGGGCACGGACATAGCACTGCTCATCAAGCCATGCTGAGGCAGCGTCCCACATGCCACAACTAGAAGGACCCACAACGAAGAATATACAACTACGTACCGGGGGGCTTTGGGGAGAAAAAGGAAAAAAATAAAATCTTAAAAAAAAAAAATGCTATGCTTCTACTGACAAAATTATATTGGCCTAACTTTCCACAAGAAATCAGTCTAAATTTAAGAAAGAATCAAATTATTCTACCTCAAAAGAGTATCCAATTTGATAATGAATTAACATTACATATAAAAAGAAATCATTTAGATAAATATTTTTTAAAACTGATATATAAAAATAGCTTAAGGGGGCCAGCCCCATGGTTAAGTTTGGCAGCCTGGGCTCAGCTCCTGGACTCTGACCTACTATACAAGTCGTTGGCAGCCATGCTGTGGTGGCAATAAAATAGAAGAAAACTGGCACAGATGTTAGCTCAGAGTGAATCTTCCTCAGCAAAAAAAGGAAGATTGGCAACAGATGCTAGCTCAGGGTGAATCTTCCTCAGTTAAAAAAACCCCCAAAAACAAAAAACAAAAAAGTTTAAGAACATGAATACGTAATTCACAAAAGATCTAAGGCACTAATCAATACCAAAATCAAAGTTTACCCCCAACTAATTAAAGAAATACAAATTAAGATTTTTTTCCATATCAAATTTGCTATTTGAAAGAGTAAAATACTTCTGTCCTGCAACAACCCTGTTAGAAAAGAAATCTGATTTACATCACAAGATTAAAATACCCATATCTATGCTTTGACCCAATTATCCTACTTCTAAAAATCTGGTTTAACAAACCTGTAAAATCATACAAATAGTTTTGCACAAAAATATGCATTACAGTGTTATTTCTAATAGTGAAAAATAATTTAAGTGTCTAAGGAAATTACTGAATAAAATTATGCTACATTCATATAATGCTCTGCAACCATTTATAAAGTACACAAAGAGTTTAATGATATGGCCAATGCATATTATACACCTGGTCGAAAAGGATGAGTCAAGTTATAATATATGTCTCTACCATATTAAAAATATACAGGAGGGGCTGGCCCCGTGGCCGAGTGGTTAAGTTCGCGTGCCCCGCTGCAGGCAGCCCAGTGTTTCGTTGGTTCAAATCCTGGTCACCGACATGGCACTGCTCATCAGACCACGCTGAGGCAGCGTCCCACATGCCACAACTAGAAGGACCCACAACGAAGAATATACAACTATGTACCGGGGGGCTTTGGGGACAAAAAGGAAAAAAATTAAATCTTTAAAAAAAAAAAAAACACACAGGAAAAATGACTGGAAGGAAATACCCCAAAATTATATCACAGTTACCTTTGGGTAGCTTAGTTATAAATATTTTTGCTTCTGTACTTTTTAGGCTTCAAAACTTTCTGCAAAAAAGTACTACTTTTAAAATTAGAGGTTTTTTTTAAATAGCTTAAGTTATAATTTATATTTTAAAGCATCTATGCTTTGCTAGGTATTCACAGTTTATAATATAACATGATATAATGGAAGAGCTTTTCAGTCTAAGTTTAAAAAGTCCATCACATCAACTGAATACTATATAGTCATTAAATGGAATGAGGTAGTTGTGTATGTGTGTTAGAACAATCTTCAAAATTTATTATAAGCAAGCTGCAGAATGGTTTATGAAAAGCATGTAGGGGGCCAGCCACATGGTTGAGTGGTTAAGTTTGCACGCTCTGCTTCAGTGGCCCAAGATTTTGCTGGTTCGGATCCTGGGCGTGGACATGGCACTGCTCATCAGGCCATGCTGAGGTGACGTCCCACAGAGCACAACCAGAGGCACGCACAACTAGAATATACAACTAGGTACTGGGGGCTTTGGGAGAAGAAAAAAGACGACTGGCAACAGATGTTAGCTCAGGTGCCAATCTTTAAAACAAAGCACAATTAAAAAACAAAGCGTCTTTTCATTTGTCTAGAAGGGAGGAGATTATATAGACATACACATGCTTTCGTACACATGGAATCTTTTCTTTCCTTTTTTGTGTGAGGAAATTGGCCCTGAGCTAACATCTGTTGCCAATCTTCCTCTTTTTGCTTGAGGAAGACTGTCACTGAGCAAACCTCTGTGCCAATCCTCCTCCACTTTATGTGGGATGCTGCCACAGCATGGCTTGATGAGCAGTGCTAGGTCTAAGCCCGGGATCTGAACTTGCAAACCTGGGGCCACCAAAGCAGAGGGCGCAAACTTAACCACTACGCCACAGGCCAGCCCCCTGCATGGAACCTTTTTTGAATACAAAGATGAAATGAGAATGCTAATGCCCCTAGGGAAGGGGACTAAGAGCCCAGGTCTGGGGAAGAAAGGAAACTTCAATTATACTGTATTTCTTCTTGGTCATAGTTAGCAAGTTAATGCATGAGGCACTAAAAGAATTAAGTAAAAACACTGTCATTAAAAAAACTATCCACACACAAAATTTCACCCCACAGTAACACAAACCATAAATTGGGTACTCCTCAGTTGTAAAAGAAAATTAAATGTTATCTCACTTTATAATAAACTAATTAACTTTAAAGCCTTGCAAATAAGACACAAGCTTAAATTTGAAAAATCTGAGATCACAATTCATCCTAATCTCTTATACTAGTGACTATTACATTATTTAGACCCACAAACAAATCAAATTTTAACAAGTCACCTACTAATTAGACTTCTCCTGAGCAACTAGAAAGATAAGGATTTTAAGCATTCTGACAACATACTGATAAAATAAATGTTAAATTTCTAACATTCTGATAAATATTTTATAATGCTCTGACTTACCAGGTGGCTGGTCTTGACTTACGTATAACTTCGGTTCATTTCCCAAGAGTGAACCAGATTTTGGTTTAGGTTTCAAAGAAGGGAAGAATTTCATCATCAGATCCGATGCAAGAGGAGGACTTGTGCCCCTGCTGGAACTGCTCAAGTCTTCTCCATTCTTGACGGGGGCAACTTTCCTTTTTATTGTTTTGTCCAATACACCTATTTCACTCTTTTTAGGGTAGGTTATCTGGGGAGTCCCATAAACGGCTTCATTCCCAAGAATACCATCATGTTTAAATGAATTCTCTTCAAGGTCGGTCCATGTTCTTTCATCATCAAAGTCAATTTTACTCATATTTATTGATGAGGGTCTTCTTGAGGACTCAGAAACTTTATTTTTCAAGCTTTCTATTATGACGGACTCATCACTACTATAATCTTTATCAGACAAATCTAAATCAGCATCTCTCCTTTTATCTTCTTCTTGAGTCCCAGTGTCCCTAAAAGGTCCCTTACCATCACAGACTTGTGGACTATCCTCTCTGCTGCGGAAGCACCTTTCTTTATCCTCCATTGATAGTTTTACGGTAACATCAAGTTGTTCCTCAGAGTTAGTGCTACTGTCACTGCTCATAACACCTTCATCATCACTTGCCTTCCACCTAGTTTGCCTTTCAGAAGTGCTCATTTGGAATGCTTTCCTAGTGACTTTACATGACTGTTCCTTCAATCCATCGGGTGAGGCCACTGAATCAAGCTGCTTGGTTGCGACTTCACAGTCACTCTTACATTCATGTTCAGGAAGGTCTGGATCCTCATTTTGGTTACAGAGACTACTGGGATCCGATGCTATCGTCTTCTCCTGCTGTGCAGCTTTGACAGGGGTAGAAGACAGCCGGTGACCTTTACAGATCTGTTGGTCCCTCTCTAAGATCTTCAGCACAAAAGAGGAATTACTGGAAAATGATATTTCATCAGCAGCTTGTTCTAAAAACAAAAATTCATCTAATTCCAAGTTTTCCTTTTCCTTTTCTCGTTCCCAGTTCTCTAACTTTTGCTGAAGAGAAACGTCAAGAGAAGATTCTGACTCTTTCAAGGTCTCACCTTTCAGGCTCTTAGAAGCCATGCAGCTGGCCAGCCCAGTCGAAAGGGGGAGTTTGTCTTTACCTTGTGTGCTATTCCAGACTTTGCAACCACTATCAAAAGGTTTTGTAGACTCAGGTACATTTTCTTTATTATTAGATTCCACTTTTCTTCTCAATTTGATCTGGTCTCTAAATTGCCCATCACCTTTCTTCCCTGCTGGTATTTTCCATCCTGACGGAGACAGACTTTTCCTATTATTACTCTTAAGCACTTTCGGCTTTTGACTGAGTGTGACAGAACCACTTTTCGTTCCAGCTTTACTGTTTTTTCTAGCAGGAAGGTTCTCTGTACACGGTTCTTTACTTATAAAAGCAGTTTTCCGCTGGAATTGCTGTCTGTCTACTTTAAACACAGCTTGGTCCTCTGAAATGCTCTGATTAGTCACTAGTTCACCTTCTCTCCCTTTCTGCAACTTAGATTTAGCTTTAGTAAATCTAGCTAAACCTTCTCCTCGTTTTAAGAACGGTTGTTTTGGTTTTGCTTTGATTAACAATGATCCTTCTGTTTCCTAAAATAAAAAAACAATATTTGAATTATTTCTAGTATATCCAAGTAATCTCAAAGTTGTTTTTTTTAAAGATTTTACTTTTCCTTTTGCTCCCCAAAGCCCCCCAGTGCATAGTTGTGTATTTTTAGCTGTGGGTCCTTCCAGTTGTGGCATGTGGGACGCCGCCTCAGCATGGCTTGATGAGTGGTGCCATGTCCGCGCCCAGGATCTCAACTGGCGAAACCCTGGGCCACCGAAGTGGAGCGCACAAACTTAATCACTCAGCCACGGGGTCAGCCCCTTCAAAGTTATTATTAAAGCAATTAGAAATAAATGTCTAAAGCCTCAGACAATTTAATCAAAACAGTGGAAATGCCAACCCTTAGCTGTTTTTGTTTTAGTGCTTGTTCTTCCAACCGAATTTGTTCTTCTAAGTAGTCTTCAAATGTCTGTTTCTTTTCTCCAATAGCAGCTTTAATAGGCCTAATCATAAAAATAAAGTTGTTTAGTATGCAAATCATGATGTGCTGAACATTTTACATTTAGTGTGCCTGATACAGACACCCCTGACTACACTGAGAACTAAACTTTTGAAAGTCACTGACCTCCATAGAGAATCCAGTGAAAGCAACAACCCCGCTGCATCTCCCAAAATACAGATACATACAACACTCTACACAGGATTTGGAAAAAACCCTTTTGAAATCCATCTACTGACCTTAGATTAGCTTTTGTAGAAACATATTCATTACTTAACTTTAAAATATATTTCAGAAATAGTTCATTGAATACACATTTTTTAATTAAGAAAGATCCTTAACAATGTAAATAGAGCAACAATCAAAAAAGTCATTTGTCCATCCATAATGTATATTAAAATACTTCAAATATTTAAGAAAATCATAAATAATCTCAATACTGATATTTTATGTCATAAAAATTTTTTACTTCTGTAACCAGACTTCTGCCATTATAATTTGTAAATAATACCAAATGTGAGACTCCAATATTTAATTTGTTTTTCTCTTTTCCAAAATAGAATTTACCTAACTATTTGAGAGATTAATTTTATCCAGGTATTTCTTGTAGGTGAAAAAATCTTGCTCAATTCTTCCAATACAATGTCAAAGCTACTTTACCTGATGTATCTCCCAACCTCTTTCTGTTCCTGATAGTATGTGATGAGTTCAATCTTCAACCTCATACTTAAAAGCATATTCAAGCAAAAACAAGAAAACTAGGGAGCTTTCAAATAAAGAAAGTGCTCAGTAATAAGGGCTGGCTATTATAGTAAACTGTCACATTCTTATTCCTGTCAACATGGAGGATACCTTTCTTCAATATTCACCACTTCTGAGGAGTCACCAATGTTTTTTACATTTGTATCATTCCCTTCCTGAATCTGTTCCGTCATTTTCTCCCAACATGGTAAAATACCTTCTCCTAGAATAAAAATTAGGAACAATTTAGTTCAAAAAAAGCAGATTAAAGTCTTAAACTTGAGAATTTCACAAGTTACTATGCTAAAAAAATCTTTAGTTAAAAGTAATGTGTGCCAATGATTTTAGAACTCACAAGGATTTCTTTAATATGATAAAAAACTACAAAACCCTAATTGAAACATGACATTCTTCAAAAGGTTAATGCTATGAAAAAAAGGTGTAGGCTTTTCTAAATTAAAAAAGATTAGAGAGTTAACAATTGAATGTAATACATGAACTTGACTGGATCCCAGTTTTTTAAAAGAACACCTTTAAAAGTCATTTTTGAGATAATAGGGGGAACTCAAAAATGGATTTGAATATTAAGGAATTATTGTTAATCTCCCTAGGTATAATAATAGTATTGTAGTTATATATAAGAATGTCCTAATTTTTACTTGATGCATGCTAAAATACTTAAATGATGTTAACATAATGTCTGCATATTACCTGCAAGGAAATAACTTAGCAAATTATATATACATGTAGATAGAGAAATAGATATAGGTATAGATACAGATATATATACACACATACAAATGTATATAGACAAAGTAAAATGGCAAAATATTAACTGTTGAATTTAGGTAATGGGTATACTGGTAATCATTGCAGTGGTCTTTCAACTCTTCTGGATGTTTGAAATTTTCCAAAGTAAAAGATTAGGGGAGCGTATTGTTTAAAAAATAAGAAAAAGACATTTGACCTTTCCATACCAAGGAATTGCCGTAAAATAGGAATGAGATATTACGCACAAAGGTGCCCCATTCTAACTAGTAAGTACAGACACCTTTGGTCATATTATTTACATTTTTTTATAACTGACTCAAAAGAATATATTCATAAAAACAACATTAAAATTGAAAATTAAATTTAAATTTAAAATACTAGCAACAACTGTCTTACCACAAAGAACATTAAATATTGATATATTATTGATGACTAACATAATGACAACCATTAAAATTATGGTTATGAAGACTACAGAACATACCATAAGCATTTTCCAGCGTGAGTGGGAAAAGAATACAATTTATTAAGCAATATTCTATGATCACAAAATGTGAAAAAAGGCAGGGGGGCGGGAGCGACACAGAAATAGAACTTAAAAAAAAAAAAAAGACCAGAAGAAAATATACCAGAAACGCCATAAGAGCTCCATGAATTCAGACATCAGACACTGAGGGTCAGTTTTCTGGCAGGAACACACAGGGTGCTGGGAATACAGAGGTATAGTGAAAACAAACCAAATCTTGGGGTTGGAGGTATTTCTTTTATAAGTAATAACTCCCATCAGCAACCTGTTTCTCATATTTCACATCTTCTATCAAGTGCCCAACCACCACAGCACACATTTTCACTCAACCTCAAACTATTTCTAAGCTTTCAAAGAAAAATGTACAGGCAGAACTTTTGTTGCCTCCCTTTTTGAAGACCCCATACTACCATGCAAGGTTTAAAGTCAGCATGAATACTGCAACTGTTCTCAGAAAGTCACAAATTCTATGTCCAGTTCTACACCCAAACCAGGCTCAGTAGCTATGCAGCACGTAGGACCTCACAAAGCAGAAGAGGACAGGAAAACAATGCAGAAAAAACTTTTCTTGTCTTAGGACAACTTGTTAACACTGTCAGTTAAGTACAGAAGAGAGAAATATGTATAAGGAACTCACCTATAGGACGGTTTTGGTTTTCTTCCTTCAAATCATTTTTTTTCACAAGCGCTTCTTGATACTGTGCCTCATAAAACAAATTGGGAGAAGCACCACTTTTTGAAGTTAAGATAAAATCTTGATGAGTAGTCCTACAGAAGTTTTGTTCATTGGCTAAAACGTTGGAAGTGTGCATTTTTTCTTGGGTTTGATTCTGGTAGATACATGAGGATAAGAAGGGTGCGGTTTTCTCCACAGTGGTTGCATTTCCTGGAGATCTGTACTTCTGGCTCTTATCATCAGGAAGTAGAGTTAGACCTTGCAATTAAGAAAATCAACAAACTTGATGACTTTCTTTAACATTTTCTCTCCTGCCTGTTAGTGACCCCTACCACAAAGTTTTCTCCAACGTGATAGCAATATTTTTTCTTCCTTATTAAGAAACTGTTTAACAAAATCATGAAATTTTAAAATTCCAAAGTGACCCTTGCAGAATTTTAATTAAAAGTTTATTTATACTACGATTCATGTGCAGACTGTGTGTACATAGCAGAGCTGCAGCACTGCCTAATTCTGGAAGGCACCATTCATGCTACATCTATCAAAAGCACTGCTGGAATTGTCAACTCTGCAGACCTATGACAAACACAGTTAGATAGAGCACCAATGCAAATAGTTAACAAATGATCCGAATTGTTCCCTAATGATCAATAACTGCTCTGTGGCACAACATAGAAAAGTCTTCCCTTTAGATTAACATCTTGGTATCCTCAGGTAGTGGAATTATGGGTACCTTTCTGTTTTGTACTTTTCCGTATAATTTCTAAATTTCCTGTATTATTTTGTCTGTTTTGTTTCTCAAGTCTCTGCTTTTAAAATAAATAAACAGAGAGAAGATTCCCCTCCTATATATCTCTAAGATATAATTCTTGGAGGGTAGATGGCAATATTAGCCATCTTGCCTGCTGCACCAGCTCCTCAAAATCCTGCTACTATACCTCTGTTCTCCCAGATTGTCTCAACTAAATTTAAAAGTGAAGACACAATGAGAAGTGTTTCATAAAAGAGCTGGGCCACATATCTCTAATACCTATCTACCTCACCCCCAGCCCATGAATAAAACTGAGATCAAGTAGGTCCTAATTGAATAGTAGGTTTGACCTTGCTTCCTTTTTTATAACGATACTCTCATCTAAATATTTTTGACTAATAGTCATCCTACTTCAGCCTAAAGACGTCTTTGATAAAAGAGCAATATCCCAAAGTAGTAGTTCTCAGTGTCGTTTGTAAACCCCTGGAGGTCTCCAAGACTCTTTCAGGGCATCCACCAGGTCAAAACTATTTTCATAAAATATTTAGGTAGTATTTGCCTTTTTCACTGTACTGAATATACACTGATGGTGCAAAAGCAAAATGGAAACTCCTGGTGTCTTCTCTCAAAAGCAAGACAGCAGGACAGCAGCACCCAACTGTGCTAGCAGTTACAGTATTTATCATCATCATGCACTTGCAGGTTAAAAAAGTTTTGGGCCTGCCTGGTGGCATAGCCATTAAGTTCAAACGTCCTGCTTTGGTGGCCCAGGGTTTGCTAGTTCAGATCCCGGGTGTGGAGCTACGCACCGCTTGGCAAGCCATGCTGTGGCAGGTGTCACACATATAAAGTAGAGGAAGATGGGCAAGGATGTTAGCTCAAGACTAATCTTCCTCAAAAAAAAAAAATTTTTTTTTAAGTTTTACTTAAGAATGTCCTAGATAAAGTAACAGAAAGTATTAATTTTTTTTATTAAATCTCAACCCTAGAGTACATGTCTTTTGAACATTCTATAGGACAAAATAAGGAGTATGCATAAATCATTTCTGCTGTAAACCAAGACATGGCTGTGGGGTTTTTGCGGGTTTTTTTGCTGAGGAAGATTTGGCCCTGAGCTAACATCTGTTGCCAATCTTCCCCTTTTTGCTTGAGGAAGACTGTCACTGAAGTAACATCTGTGCCAATCTTCCTTTATTTTATGTGGGATGCCACCACAGTGTGGCTTGACAAGTGGTGCTAGTTCCACACCCAGGATCCAAACCTGTGAACCCCGGGCCACCAAAGCAGAGCAGATAAACTTAACCACCACGTCACCGGGCCACCTCCAGCTATGTAATTTTTTGAATTGTAAGCTTGAGTAGCTACTTCTTCCAAGGAAAATCACTTTTATCTGAAAGAATAAACGACAAATTATGATGATTTAAACCTTGGTACTTGACAGACATTTTCTCAAAAATGAAACAAGTAAGCTAGTCACTTCAAGGAAAACAACTGACGGTATTTCTTGCCAATGACAAAATTTGAACTTTCAAGTAAAAATTTGAATTTTAAGAAACAAGTACACCACCACGAGCTTGACAGCTTTATAATAAGACTTTTATGATGAGAGTTATAGCGATACTAATAGATATAATTTTTTGATATTATATAATGAAATATGTCAATATTTTAAGGACCTATGTAACTCAGTAAACCACTATTTTCCAAATAACCAATGCACGATTTTACCAAATCATGCGCAATGAAAGATCCATTCAAAATGTCAAGATAGGGGCCGGCCCCATGGCCGAGTGATTAAGTTCACTCCGCTTCAGTGGCCCAGGGTTTCACCAGTTTGGATCCTGGGCATGGACATGGCACCGCTCGTCAGGCCATGCTGAGGCAGTATCCCATATAGCACAACCAGAGGCACTCACAACTAGAATATACAACTATGTACAAAGGGGTTTTGGGGAGAAGGAAAAAGAAAGAAAGAAGATTGGCAACAGATATTAGCACAGGTGCCAATCTTTAAGAAAAAAAAAAAGCCAAGATATTCCAATACATTTTAATTTAACAGAGTACAAATAGTTCATAGACATGATTTCATATTTCACACTGAGAACAATAGCTAAGAAATGACGACTTGTTGAGTTTGGGTGCAACATCAAAGAAATAACCACAATTATTTGAAAAGGCTATTAAAATACTCCTCTCTCCTTTTTCCAATTACATATCCATGTGAGGCTGGATTTTTTTCACATACTTCAACCAAAACAACTCAAGAGATTGAATGCAGAAGTAGATACGAGAATCAGCTGAGTTATTTTAAGCCAGAAGTTAAACAGATTTTTAGGGGCCAGCCCCCTGGCCAAGTGGTTAGGTTCTTGCACCCCGCTTCGGCAGCCCAGGGTTTCGCCGGTTCGGACCCTGGGCGTGGACATGGCACGGCTCATCAAGCCATGCTGAGGTGGCATCCCACATACACAACTAGAAGGACTCACAACTAAAAATACACAACTATGTACCGGGGGGCTTTGGGGAGAAAAAGGAACAATAAAAACAAAACCAAAAACAGATTTTTAAAAATATAAAACAATCCCATTCTAATTGTTTAGAAAAGTTTTTCATTAAAAAATGTTATTTGTGATGACATGTAATTGATTATTTTAAATGAATTAGTTTTTCAACTTCTTAGTTTTAATTGCTAATATAAGTAAATATTGATATCTATAGCCCCCCATATGACAAAAGCTCTTTGAAGTCCTCAATAATTTAAGAGTGTTAAGGGGTCCTGAGACTAAACAGTGTGAAACCACTGCCCTCAAGAGACATAACTGAATGGGGCTAGTTCTTATATTAATAACTTTGAAATATGCTTCCCTATTGCTCTATCATAGTGCTATTTCTACCCTAAAAAGTATCACAGGCTGTTATTTAAGTAATCTTGATTATTCTTTTTATGTATTCCATAAAAGAACCCTGAACCATTCAACTATTTCAAGATGCACACCACATTGTCTACATTCCCTAAGATGAACATCCAAATTCTCTACACCATTCTTCATTTGCTACATTTCTCATTACCACCACCACCACCACTCCCCAGTCCCACCCAGCCACATTCTGCATGCTCATTTGCCAATGTCTTTTCTTCTTTGTACTCTCAATGCCCAGAGCAACCTGTGAACAACAGGCACTTTCCTGAATCAATAAAGTGTCTCTCCTAAAATGTAGCCAAAAAGCAAACATACTGGTCCAGATCACTGTTTTTCAAACTGTGGGACACAACCCGTTAGTAATTTTATCATTAGATGCAACACATAGGTAATGACTGGCATTTTTTTTTTAACGACATAGAACAGAATAAACAAAATAGAAAATATTCTTACTACATGCCAGGCATACCAATAAGGGCTGATTTACGAAACTTTGAAATTAAGAGTCATGATTTAAAATGTTTCTGTTACTATGCAGTATGGTCAAAAGACTTTCAAAACCACTGCTCCAGATCACATTTCAACAGGTTTTTTTCCTGATAAGCACATCAAGCATTCTATTAATTGATCTAACATACAACAAAAGAGTTCTGTCATTTACTACCACAGAAAATATTTTTGGTATGTTTCTTTAACTGAACAGAATGGCTTTTACACATATTTACCTTTATGACCCAGAGCAGTTTCTCATTCACCAGGCAGAGGGTGTAAACCAGTAGCTCTAGGCCAAATTTGGCTCTAGATCTTTTATTCTGTTAGGTCTTTTTTTTTTTTTTTTTAAAGAGTTTATTTTTCCAGTACATAGTCATATATTTTCTTTTTTCCTTTTTTTTAGTTGTGGCTCCTTCTGGTTGTGGCATGTGGGACGCCACCCCAGTATGGCCTGATGAGGGATGCCATGTCCGCACCCAGGATCCGAACCGGTAAAACCCTGGGCCACCGAAGCGGAGTGCGTGAACTTAACCACTCGGCCACAGGGCCGGCCCCCTGCTAGGTCTTTTCAAAATCTTATTTTATAAATAAATGTAAATGTCTTTCAGCAGGGCACAAATGCTCCAGAATGGCACAGCTCCCACTTGTCCCAAATATACTACACCACCACTATTTCAGTTATGTGCCTAGCCCTTAAACAAATTGGAGTTTGCACCCTATGATAAAGAAATGGTAGAAATAACCTGTCAAACAACTAAAGGTAAGAAATGTAAGTGACCGTCTATCACTGTGCTAACTGAAGACCCTATGTAAGCAAAAAAATACCTGGGAGTGTATGCTGCCCAGACACCGCAGTAAGCAGCCTCTCTTGTTCTTCCATGAGTCTTTGTAGCTGCTCTAACTGTTGCCTCTTCAGTTGTTCCTGCTTCTTCTGTTGTACTTCTTTCAGCTTTTCAAACATAAAATAACTTTATTAAACCAACTTTACACTTCTTTATGGAGCTTTCCTCCTTACATTTATCTGAATGCCTCTGATCTCCCTTCTCATATCTTCCCTAATAAAGAGTTTCAAAGAGGGATCCCTAAGTAACTAAATCTGCCACCAAAACTCTAAAATCCAATTTTTTATGAAGGAGACCATATTGACAATCTCAACTAAGAAACAGAAAAAGTCATATGACGTCTGTGATTCTTAAAATAGTAATAAGTATCAGTACTTAAAATAAGTATCAGTACATTTATGATCAACTTGTCCCCCCTAATATTTGATCAACCATTTCTAATTTAGTTCTTACCAAATGAGGTAGAAATTTAAAGATATCGTTATTTTAAGTTTTATATTTATGACTTACATATTAAACATTTCATATTAGTCAAAAAGCAAAATCTGGTATTCTGAGGATTTCACAGTAAAGGGGAAGAAAAAGAGAACCTGAAACAGATTACTTTTCATCACAAACAGAAACCTGCAATAACACAAAGACATATTTAGGCCAAATCCTGTTGTACCTGCTCAAGCTTTTTGAAAAGCGGGTCTTTGTAAGCCACTTCTTTGAATTCACTCGCAAGATCTGACACAGCATCATTTTTGTGATCTCCCCAGTGTCCAGGAGCATCCTGACATGCCACTATTGGAAGTTCCTCTTTAGTTAAAGGAAAGACGGTAAGCGCTTCAGATTTATCAGGCTGTAGTTTGTAAGGGCTGTCACACTCCAATCTCTGTTCTTCACGAAGTGAATCTTCTTCACTTATAAAACTGAAACTATTTGAAAAACGCGTGGCTTTAACAGGAAAGCTGGTAGAAATGTTCACATTTGCTCGATTCTCTTCGTCTGCTTCCAAAATAGAAAATCCACGATTTAATATGACCCCAGCCCGAGAAGGATTGGTCATCCACTGAGTCAAGAAGTTCTGCCCACTATTTAACTCTGAAGAGGTTGGCATCAGGAACATTTTAGTCCAATGACACTACTGTATTTAAATAATGTAAAAGCTAGAAGAGCTAATAATTTCCAACACCTGTAGAAGAAGACAGCCAACAAAAAGTGTTAGTTAAAGCTATTCTACCCAAACCTCGACCCAGCACAAACATCTACTGAATATTTTACATACAAAAGACTTTAACTAGCAAAGCAATTGGGTATTAAGCTAAACGTCTTTTTTAAAATCTTAAAAATATCCAAATCAAGTGGATCAAAACCCTAAATTCCATTCTGATCTCATCAGTCAATTGCTGATGACTTTATATAAGTGCTAGATCAGTTGACCTAAAACGATGGAAGCAAAATCACCTTCTGAACTATTTGATTATCAAATGAAAAACAAGCCACCATCAATAGCAAATATTCCCCATATTAATCGCTCTCATGCTTCTGGCCCTAGTCCAACACTGCTTCTTGGCCCAACTGGGGAGCCTGTGTTCTCCCTAGTTCCAGAACAAAAGTTACCACCACTCCACAGCTTTAACTGGCAGTTTCCTGCTGACCCTTCCTCCCTCATCTTCCTTCTAACTCCCTGCACATCAGGCAGTCTCTCATCTGCACTACTAGAGGTCTCTGACATCACTATTTTGGCATTCATCTCACTACTAGTGGTATTTTGCTCTTGTGTTCATAACCTACCAAGTTGTGAGTTCTTTGAAGATACCTGTATATTCACCATTGCCTAAGACCATTAATTCCTGGCAGATAGGAAAAACTTGATAAATATTTCTAAAATTAAGTTAAAATTAGGGGCTGGCCCTGTGGCCAAGTGGTTGGGTTCTCACGCTCCACTTCGGCGGCCCAGGGTCTCACCGGTTCGGATCCTGGGCACGGACATGGCACTGCTCATCGGGCCATGCTGGGGCGGCATCCCACAGGCCACAACTAGAAGGACCCACAACTAAAAATATACAACTATATACAGGGGGGCTTTGGGGAGAAAAAGGAAAAATAAAATCTTTTAAAAAAATTAAGTTAAAATTAAATCAGAGCTAAGTTTATATTACTAAAAATAAATTCAGTATTATAAAGTATTATTTGTGTCCATTCAATAAACATTACACTGGCTCATTACATATGACAGCTACTCTGTATGAATCATACTCTAAAATAACCAAACTCCTAGTAGAACTCTGTCAAGGTGCAATTGATAAATGGGACATCACAAAGATAAGCTCTTTCTCCTTTGCATGTCTGATTTTACTCAACTAACATTTATTGAGTTCTTACTTGTGCCAAATACTATTTTAGGCACTGGGTAGACAGCAGTTAATAAGTCAGAGTGTAGTGGGGAAAATTCACACACACAAGTAAATTATACAATATGTTAAATAGCAATAAGTGCTAAGGAGAAAAAAGCCACGTCGGGGAAGGAGATTGCCAGTTTAGACAGGGTGGACACAGTGGCTTCATTTAAAGGATAAAACTAAGGACCTGGTGGGGGAGAAGGAGCAAGAGGTGCAGCTACAAGGGGCAGAGCAAGACCCAGCCGACCAGACTTCACAACCTTCATCTGCAGGATGCCCCCCACCAATGCCCCATTCCTCCAGAAACCCACCAGTTCTCATGGTCCCATCACCACTATCTACTTTGAATTCTCAGGATTAATCTCTTCGTGTGATTAAATCTATTTACATCGGTCACCATAAGAAGGCTCTGGCTCCCAAGCCATCCTTTATCTCTTATACTCGAATCTCCATGCACAGGGCTTATTCTGTCTCCATCTCCCAAGCATCCCCAATGTCAAAACACTGTCCATCACCAGTAAAATCTCCTATTATCCTTAACCTCTTCTCTCATCTTCCTGAGAACACTTCTTCCCATGGAGCTCATGCCCTTGAACCACTGGGCCTGAAAGCAGAATAAGTATTTTCCTTATTGTTCTTTTTTGCTTCTAGACTATTCTCCCTTCCTCCACCATAAACAGCACACAATTTTGAAATTCATATGATCAGACTATATAACCTACTCCTCCTCCTTTACTGTCTACCAAACCTCCAAAGGTCACTAGGATCTTCCTCTCATTCCTTAAAATTTGCTGGCTGAGTGGGATTTATACCAGGGACACAGGGATGGTTCAACATCCGCAAGTCAATCAACGTGATACACTACATCAACAAAATGAAAAACAAAAACCACATGATCATCTCAATAGATGCAGAGAAAGCATTCGACAAGATCCAACACCCATTTATGATAAAAACCCTCAGCAAAATGGGTATAGAAGGAAAGTACCTCAACATAATAAAGGCCATATATGATAGACCCACAGCCAACATCATACTCAATGGACAAAAACTGAAAGCCATCCCTCTGAGGACAGGAACAAGACAAGGGTGCCCACTTTCACCACTCCTATTCAACATAGTACTGGAGGTGCTGGCCAGAGCAATTCGGCAGGAAAAAGAAATAAAAGGAATCCAAATAGGTAACGAAGAAGTAAAACTCTCGTTGTTTGCAGACGACATGATCTTATATATAGAAAACCCCAAAGAATCCACAGAAAAACTATTAGAAATAATCAACAACTACAGCAAAGTAGCAGGGTATAAAATTAACGTGCATAAATCAGTAGCATTTCTATACACTAACAGTGAACTAACAGAAAAAGAACTCAAGAACTCAATCCCATTCACAATCGCAACGAAAAGAATAAAATACCTTGGGATAAACTTAATCAAGGAAGTGAAGGATCTATACAATGAAAACTACAAGACTTTCTTGAAAGAAATTGACGATGACATAAAGAGATGGAAAGACATTCCTTGCACATGGATTGGAAGAATAAACATAGTTAAAATGTCCATACTACCTAAAGCAATATACAGATTCAATGCTATCCCAATCAGAATCCCAAGAACATTCTTCACAGAAATTGAACAAACAATCCTAAAATTCATATGGGCCAACAAAAGACCGCGAATTGCTAAAGCAATCCTGAGCAAGAAAAACAAAGCCGGCGGAATCACAATCCCCGATTTCAAAACATACTACAAAGCTACAGTGATCAAAACAGCATGGTACTGGTACAAAAACAGGTCCACAGATCAATGGAACAGAATTGAAAGCCCAGAGATAAAACCACACATCTATGGACAGCTAATCTTCTTTGACAAAGGAGCAGAGGGCCTACAATGGAGAAAAGAAAGTCTCTTCAACAAATGGTGCTGGGAAAACTGGACAGCCACATGCAAAAGATTGAAAATTGACCAGTCTTTTTCACCACACACCAAAATAAACTCAAAATGGATCAAAGACCTAAAGATTAGGCCTGAGACAATAAGTCTTTTGGAAGAGAATATAGGCAGTACACTCTTTGACATCAGTTTCAAAAGAATCTTTTCGGACACTGTAACTCCTCAGTTGAGGGAAACAATAGAAAGAATAAACAAATGGGACTTCATCAGACTAAAGAGCTTCTTCAAGGCAAGGGAAAACAGGATTGAAACAAAAAAACAGCTCACTAATTGGGAAAAAATATTCACAAGCCACTTATCCGACAAAGGGTTAATCTCCATAATATACAAAGAACTCACACTGCTTAACAACAAAAAAACAAACAACCCGATCAAAAAAATGGGCAGAGGACATGAACAGACATTTCTCAAAAGAAGATATGAATATGGCCAATAGACACATGAAAAGATGTTCATCATCGCTAATCATCAGGGAAATGCAAATCAAAACTACACTAAGATATCACCTTACACCCGTTAGATTGGCAAAAACATCCAAAACCAAGAACGACAAATGTTGGAGAGGTTGTGGAGAAAGAGGAACCCTCATACACTGTTGGTGGGAATGCAAACTGGTACAGCCACTATGGAAAACAGTATGGAGATTTCTCAAAAAGTTAAAAATAGAAATACCCTATGACCCAGCCATCCCATTACTGGGTATCTATCCTAAGAACCTGATATCAGAAATCTCAAGAGTCCGTTGCACCCCTATGTTCATCGCAGCATTATTTACAATAGCCAAGACGTGGAACCAGCCTACATGCCCAGAGACTGATGATTGGATAAAGAAGATGTGGTATATATGCACAATGGAATACTACTCAGCTATAAAAAAAGACAAAATCGGCCCATTCACACAACGTGGATGGACCTCGAGGGTATTATGTTAAGCGAAATAAGCCAGTCAGAGAAAGACGAACTCTATATGACTCCACTCATAGGTGGAAATTAGCATATTGATAAGGAGATCTGATCGGTGGTTACCAGGGAAAAGGGGGGGTGGGGGGAGGGCACAGAGGGGGAAGTGGTGTACCCACAACATGACTAACAAAAATGTACAACTGAAATCTCACAAGGTTGTAATCTATCATAACATTAATAAAAAAAATAAAAAAAAATAAAAAAAAAAAATTTGCTGGCTGAGCAACTAGAAGAACACAGTTGCCATTAACTGAAATGGGGAAAATGGGGGCTGAAACAGGTTTGGGGGAGTGAGAGATCAAAAGTTGAATGTAGGACATTTTAAGATGTCTGTCAGACATCCCAGTAGAGACATCACGTAGGCAGCTGTACATACAAGAATGGAATTCGTGGATGAGGCCTAGGCTGTGAAGAATAAATGTGGGTATCCTTAGCATATAGATGGTATTTAAAGCCTTGAAACTGGATGAGATCACTAAAGAACGGAGGGTAGACCAAAAAAGAGAAGATGTAAAAAGTGTAGTGTCCTTGAAGCCAAATGAAGAAAGTGTTTTAAGGAAGAAAGGGTTGTGTTAAATGCTGTTAATAGACAAAGGGTGAGGAGGACTGAGGACTGACCTTGGAATTCAGCAAAGCAAACGTCATAATTTCAATGAGAGCAGCTAGGGGGGGTGGGTTGCAAAAGCTTGAATGAAGGGGACATATGAAAGAATAAGAAATTGGAGACAGTGAGTATAGCTAACTCTTTCCAGGAGTGCTGTTACAAAGGGAAGGAAATAAATAGAACAGTAGCTGCACAGGGAAGCAGGGTGAAGAGGGGTTGTTTTTTTAAGACAGGAAAAATGGCGGCCAGCCCCATGGCCTAGTGGTTGAGTTTGGCACATTCCACTTCAGTTGCCCTAGTTCATGGGTTTGGATCCTGGGTGTGGACCTACACCATTCATTAGCCATGCTGTGGCAGTACCAGAAGAGGACTTAGCTCAGGGTGAATCTTCCTCAGCAAAAAAAAAAAAAAAGACAGGAAAAATAAAAGCAGGTTTCCAGGCCGATGAGGTCGTGGAGAGAGGCGAGAACTGCTACAGCCACATCTTTGAGAGGAGAGACAAGAGATCTAGTACCTAAGTGGAATGACAGTTCACATCATTTTTCAGACAAAATTCTAACTTTATCAATGTCATACAGCAAAATATACATAAGCAAAGTGAAATGAAAAATGGCAATTTGGAAGCCAACAAACATGTATTTAGCTGCATACCTAGTATCTAAAAAACGAACACACAAAAGATATAAACAAAAAAGAAATACAGATGCTCAAACATTAAAATATGCTCATCCTCATCCAACTGAACAGAAATTAAAACAGTAATGACGTACCATTTTTCACACATTGGGTTGGCAAAGACTAAAACTTGATAACACCCAATGTGGAAGAAGAACTCTTTCATAAAATGTTACTTGGAAATGTAAACTGGTACAACCTTTTGGGAGGCAATTTGACAACTACCCAAACTGTAAATACACAAAAACTTTGACTCAGCAATTCCCCATCTAGGCATTTTGTGCTTTATTGGCACAAGTTTACATTTGCAATAAACTGAAATTAACTTAAATGTCTGGTAACAGGGGACCAGGTAATTATGGTATTCATGCAACTGTTAAAGAGAGCAAGTAAGCTCGTTAGGTGCTGATATGGAAGTAGTGAATATATCCAAGATACACTGTTCACCGACAAAGGCAAAGTGCAGAGCAGTGTACAACAGATGAGAAAGACAAAAAACAGAATTACTTAGACTTGTGCTGTCCGACATGGTAGCTACTAGTCACGTACGGCTATCGAGTACTTGAAACATGGCCAATGTGACTGAAGAACCAAAAGACAGATGGTGTCATTTTATTATGTCAAAAATCTGGATTTAATCAAATTTTAAAACAAAAGACTGCTGTTTCCCTTGTTGCTTCATTCCACCGTATGACATACACTGAACATAGTTGTGCTCCGTTTTCTGAAGCAGAACTCTGGAATAGCGTTGTGAACAGCTGTTAACATCACTCAGTGTGTACGTGAAACACTATGAGGCACCAGTTTATAGAAGTGCTCAAAGAAACAGAAGGCAGTAACAATAACGTGGTTTTTGCCGCCGTGCCCGGGGTGAGCTGCCAAAGACTTCCCCAAAGGCTTAGGAAGAGCCTTCTGTACTGGGCACTGCAACCCTGGGCACTGCAACCCCAGGCTTCCTGGAACAGAAGGAACGCCTGCAAACGCTTCAATAACCAGACCCAAACGCAGCGTCCCGTCCTCTCACTGAGGTCACACGTGGAGGCCCACAGCTACCCAGGCATTTAAAACCCGCTGCCGAGGCACCCTCACGCACGAGCGACGCTGGGCCGAAGTCCACGCCAACACGCCCTGCACCATTTCCATTTAACACGAAATTCAAGAATAGGCAAAGCCAACAGTAGGAGCAGAGGCCAGGATCGCGGTCATCTGGGAAGCTGGGGTGGTACCACGGAAGGCGAAGCGGCTGCCTTCAGGGTGACGCGAGCTGTTCCTCGTCTGGGTGGCGATGACACTGCTGTGTACATTTGCACTGTACGTTTAAGGTTAGGGCACTTTACTGGAAATTCCTGAATAGTATTTTTTTGAGGAAGCCTGGCCCTGAGCTAACATCCGTGCCCATGTTCCTCTACTTTATATGTGGGACACCTACCACAGCATGGCGGGCCAAGCGATGCCATGTCCGCGCCCGGGATCCGAACCAGCGAACCCGGGCCGCCATAGCAGAACGTGCACACTTAACCGCCGGGCCACCAGCCGGCCCCTGAATAGTTTTTAACCATCCGTTCTGGGGAGGTTAAGTTCCGCGCTCTGCTTCAGCCGCCGGGATTCCCAGTTTGGCCCCCAGGCGCCGACCCACACCACTCGTCCGTCGTCGTGCTGAGGCGGCGTTCCACACTCGAAACAGAGGAAGACGGCATAGATGTTAGCTCACTGACCATCTTGCCCAGCAACAAAAAGAAAAAATATCTGTTCTAAGCAAATCAACTCTATTTTTGAGTCGGAGGTCTATCTATAAAGGTAACAACTTTTCATCAAAATCAACCAAGTAACCTTGGTTAAATTTAAATGACCTTAGCAGGAATCTTGAAATTCAAACTCAGAAAGCAGAGACAAGCTACAAGGTCACTTTGTAACATCACAAACTAGAAGAGCTCCCTCCTAGATCTTCAAGCGCAAGCAGCCGCCGTGACGCGGCCCCCAGACATCTGCACCCTCCCCACTGAGAACACACCTCTATTCCCCCGTTTCCTAGGATCCTGAAACCACGTTCACCGGCGGCGTGAATTACAAGAACACTGTTCCACCCCCATCCGCTCCTTCCGATCGCTGCTAAGGCCTCGGTAAGCGTGGCCGCGCCGGCGCCCGGCCCGCACACCGAGGCCGGCAGCCCGCCAGGAGCGCCGCCGAAACGCTCTCTGAAGCACCTTGCCGGGAAACGATAAACTCTCCGCGTCGCGAGCGGAAACGTGGACGCGACAGTGAACGCAGACCACCCTCGGCCCGCGGAGAGCGGCCCGCTGGTCTGGGAGGCGACTTACCAGCCCGCCCAACGCGCCTCCTTCAAATCCACGGACGCCCCGCGGCGAGGGTTACAGGACGGCGCGCGCGGAGGCCGGTCCCCGCGGACCGAGGCACCCGCGCGGCGCGCTCCTCCGCAGCAGCCGCCCACGGCCCAAACCGCCGGCCGCCCGCGGGCCGCGCCGACCCGGGCGGACGCCAGCTGCAGTCCGCCACGGCGCGAGGGTCTGTCCGCGCACCGCCCGCCCTCCTGGGTGCCGGGCAGGCAACACACCAGCTCCTCCGCTCCTTTCGCCCACGAATCACCGCTCGGCTGTCCCCCGGCCTCTCAAGCCACTCTGACCCGGGCCGGAGGCGCCGCTACCATTACGAACGAGCCGCCACAATCGTCGCCTTCGCCGGGAGCCCCGCCCCGGCCCCGCCCCCGGCCGAGGGCCCCTGGGAAGTGTAGTTCCCACCGGCCCCCCTCTGCGCTTGCGCGCGGTGCCGCCGGGCGCGTGCAAACTACCGCTCCCAGCGACGACCCAGAGCCGACGTTACCCGAGGCTTCCCCGCAAGGCGCCTTCTGCCTGGGCGGCGGGACGGCAGGGAAAAACCGCGCCGAGGGTGCGCTTCCGGGGTAGACCGCGTCGTCCCCCTCCCATCTGGACACCTAAGGGTGGCGCCTGCGCGAGAAGCGAACCTCCAAGTTCCCCGGACGGGAGGCGACAGCGTCAGCTAACAGCCCGGAGACCGACGCTTTTAGAGGGCATGGGGGCAGGGGCATTTTGCTGACGCTGTCTGTCTGGGCGTTTTTTGTCTTTGTTTTCTGCCTTGGCTGGGTGTGACTTAGTAAAGGGAAAAAAAACGGCAGTCTGCCACGCTCTATCCTAAGGCAAAGGTAACCATGCGAGAACTCGGTCCAAAAATAGTCATCGCTCACCTTTTCTCGTAAGTTAATGCGTGGTTGGGCAATCTGTGTCCATTGGATATTAAAATTGTTTACTTTGAACACAGGAAGTGCAAAATTCAAAAAATGTTTTCTTAATTGCAGACATGGCGCTGCGAGTTACCGTAGTGTACATACCCGGGCTTAGTTTCTATACAAGTAACGGAAAGCCACGTAAAATTTTTAAAGAAATCAAATGAAGTGCCATTTATAACAACCAATATAATAGTTGAAGCAAACTACCACTGGTTAAAGATAATTAAAAAACACTTTCCGAGAAATCCGGTCCCTCCTCCCCCCAAATTGTTTTACTTTCTTCAAAAATTGTCCTTTACTAAATCAAGGGTTTCGTTTTGTCTCTTCTTTTAAAATTTTCGTTATGGATGAGGAAACCAGAGCCCAAAACTTCAAAGATCACACAACTTATTTCAGATGCTTTGCGAAGACCCAAATGCTCATCTTCATTTATTATAGTCCTTTGGCTTGAAAGCATGCCCAAAAGACTAATAATTTTTCTTAAAATGTTGCATATCTTTTAAGAGAGTCACAATACCCTCTCCTTTTTGTGCCTATGTTCTGTTGCTATATTTTTATTCTAATGTATTACGTAGTACCACATGTTGGTTGATTGAATAAATGGGTCTTTTACCACACTGAAGTTTTAAGTGGATGTTAAATTAAGGTTCTGTGTTCACCTCTAGCCCAGGTAATTCTCAAAACAGCCCACTAAGCTTGAAGGGTCCTCAAAATCCATTACAAGGCAGAAGGAGTAGAGGGAAGGAACTTCCGACTTCTAGTCTGCCAGGCAATGAAAGATTCAACCTCATCAGTTGCTCCTATCCTTGTTGCATCTTCCAAGTATTGCTGTAGAGAAAAATTAGACTAAGAGCTCCCATACAGGGGTTTTAACCACAAATTATCCATTCTGATGCAATCCTTTATGCCATCAGAGAAGGCAGGAGGGCACCGTAATGTAATAGTTAAGAGCCTATGCTTTGGAGTCAGGCAGGCCTGAGATCAAAGGCTATCTTGACAACTTACAAAGAGCTTTGTAGTCTTCGGCACTTGACCTCTCAGAAACTCAGTCTTCTCATCTGCAAAACGGGGATGATAATAATACCTACCACATTGGATTGTCAAGAAGGTTAAATTAAAAATATGTATATAAACTTAGCAATCACCTACCATGTAGTAAAAATTTAATGAGGAGATGCTTTCAGTATTTTTTTAACCACTTTATTGAGGTATGATTGACATACAAAAAGCTATACATTTAATGTATATAACCTGATAAGTTTGAAGATAAGTATTCACCTATGAAACTGTCACCACAATCTATACCATAAACATATCTATCAAAGTACTTTCATCTTTATCATGACTTTATAATTTGACTTCAGTAGCTTTAAAATGTTCATCAACAGATGAACTCACTTTGTCTGCCAAAGCCCAGCTCCACAGGTCATGTCAAATGGTTTTGCAAGATTATCATTTTACCATAGTTGATCTGGGTATGAAAGACATTCGGAGAACTTTCCATTGCTGGACTAGTAGTAGCAGTGACTGCTCTGTCAAGAGAGGACAGAATTGCAGGCCTAGCCGAGGGACAATGCCCATGCCCCTGTCATCCAGGCTAGAAAAGGTGACTAGCAGGTCAGGAAGATACATTGAAAGATGCAAGTACCTGGCCTGGAGGCAAAGGCAAAACCCACTGCCTGCTTCATCTGTGGGGAAGAAAGGGAGTTCCTCACCAAGGCCCCAAACCTCAGATTTTTAGAATTTTACCTCAATAAAGAAGTTTCTAACAACAGTGTTGGATGCTGGAAGACATCTTTTTTAAAATCCTGTCATTTTAATATAGAACAATTGCTGGTGCATTGGACTTGCAGCAAAAGATCAAGTGTTTAGACTCACACAGTGGAGGAATTATCACATCCACTACATTCTAGAATGCCCGAGCAATAATGTTGAACAGAATAAGAAAGGAGAACTCTAGCCTGAATCTTTGCTGTTATCACAGCAGAACAACACCATGGTACTTGTCACACGTATATTTTTACTTTCTTTTTGAAAATAGTAGTAGTTGAGAATTTGATGTAATTGTCTGGTGGTTTTTGAAGAATTCTATAGGTTTTTTTTCTTTTGAAATTTATTCCTGCTTGTATCTTTTTTTTTTTTTTTAAAGATTGGCCCTTGAGCTAACATCTGTTGCCAATCATTTTTTTTCTTCTCCCAAACGCCCCCCAGTACATGGTTGTATATTCTAGTTGTAGGTCCTTCTGGCTTGTGCTATGTGCGACACCACCTCAGTATGGCCTGATGCAGTGCTAGGTCCACACAAAGGGTCTGAACCGGGAAACCCTGGGCCGCCAAAGCAGAGCATGCAAACTTAACCACTCAGCCACGGCGCTGGCCCCTCTATAGGTTTTTATTACACATTTTTAAAGCAGCACATTTACTTTCCACAAATATCAAAATTACCAGTGATTTGTCTATCCTAAAAATAATATATTAACTACAAGGGCCAGAGCTGTCCAAAACATTTTCACATGTGTTCCACTGCCCATTCTTTAAAACATTGTTCCTATGTGTGGAACACATTCTTCTTCAATGTTTGGTAGAATTCACCAATGAAGCCATCTGATCCTGGGCTTTTCTTTCTGGGTGGTTTTGGATTACTAATTCAATCAATATCTTGTTATATATCTATTCAGATTTTCTATTTCTTCCTGAGTAAGTGGTGGTAGTTTGCCTGTTTCTAGGAATTTCTCTGTTTCATCTAGGTTATCTAATTTGTTGACGTACAATTGTTCATAGGTTCTCTTATAGTCCTTGTTTCTGTAAAGTCAGTAATAATGTTCCCACTTTCATTTTTTATTTTAATAATTTGAGTATTCCCTCTTTTTTCTTTGTGAATCTAGCTAAAATTTTGTCAATTTTGTTGATCTTTTCAAAAACCAACTTTTTATTTGATTGATTCTGTTTTTCTATTCTCTATTTCAAAATGCTCTAATCATTATTTCCTTCTGCTGGCTTTTGGTTTAATTTGCCCTTCTGGTGTATAGTTAAGCTGTTGATTTCAGATCTTCCTTCTTTTTAAATATAGGCTATAAATTTCCCTCTGAATACATTCACTGCATCCCATAAGTTTTGGTATGTTATGTTTTTGTTTTCATCTCAAAGAACTTTCTAATTACTCTTGTGATTTCTTCTTTTTAACATAGGTTAAATGTATTTTGTTTAATTTCCACATCTTTGCTATTTTTCTGGGTTTTCTCCTGTTACTGATTTCTAGCTTCATTCTGTATAAATCAGAGAAGGTACTTGGTATGATTTCAGTTATTTTAAATTTACTGAAAGTTGCTTGGTGACCTAACATATGGTCTATCCTGGAGTACGTTCCATGTACATTGAAAAGAATATGTATTCTGGAGTGACATCAGCATCACGGTGGAGTGAGGTCTGTCAGAAATCTTCTCCCTCCAAAATACAACAAAAAGAAATCCAGACTCCAACACAGGACATCCAAAGTCAACAGAAAAAGTGTCAGAGAGATCCACGCAGGCATACGACCAAAGGCAGAGAGGCTAGAACTCCCCTCAGAGGTGTAAAGGGGTAAGAGAAATCTTCACTCCCTTACCTATAGACTGCAGTCAGGACTGCAGGAGGCCTTCTCGAGGGGAGGAACAGGGGAGGGAACATTCATTCACGGGAACATCAAGGACCCTTGCAGCCTAGAAGGAAGCCCTCTAACGGGGCAAAAGCTTTCACAGGGGGTGATGCTATCAAGCCAAAACACCAGGAGAACAGAGGGGGAAAACCCCGAGAGCATGCAGGAGAAAGCACCCCTCCTCCCTCCCGTGCAGCATGTCTCTAGTCCCTAGGATTTCAGCTGAAGGCAGAGGGCTCAGAATATGGGGCTCTTGACCCCCACCCATTGGCAATATGTGGTACCTGCAACCTAATGACGCCAGGATACAAAAACACAGAACTCTAGCAGTATCAAACACTATATTAAATCTCCAGATTAGCAAGAAAATGAGTACCCAGAAATCAGTGCTTAGGACGCAGAAATATGTAATCTAAACAACAATGAATTCAAAACAGCTACAATGAAAAAACTCAATGAGATAAAAGAGAATGTAGAAAAACAATTCAATGAGTTCTAGAACTACTTCACAAAAGAGATTGAAACTGTAAAGAAAAATCAATCAGAAATATTGGAGATGAAAGACACAATAGAAGAAATAAAATATGGATTCCCTGAATGCTTGAGCAGACGCCATAGGGGAACATATCAGCATAATCTAAGATAGACATGTTGAAATGCTCCAGATAGAGGAGGAGAGAGAACTAAGACTAAAAAGAAATGAGGAAAGTCTCTGAGAAATATCAGACTCAATTAGGAAATGCAACATAAAAATTATAGGTATTCAAGAAGGAGAAGAGAAGGAGAATGGAGTAGAAAGTTTGCCCAGAGAAATAACAGCAGAGAACTTCCTAAACCTAGGGAAGGAAATCCATGTGGAAGAGGCTGCCAGATCTCCTAAATATGTCCATGTAAAAAGACCTACTGCAAGGCATATAGTGGTGAAACTGGCAAAACTGAATGACAATGAAAGAATACTAAAGGCAGCAAGGCAGAAGAAAATAACCTACAAAAGAACCCCCATCAGGCTTTCAGCAGGTTTCTCTGCAGAAACCTTACAGGCTAAGAGAAACTGGAATGACATATTGAAATCACTAAAGGACCAACACTTTCAGGCAAGAATACTCTATCCAGTGAAAATATCCTTCAGATATGATGGAGAAATAAAAAACTTTCCTAGACAAACATAAGCTAAGGGAGTTCGTAGCCACGAGACCCCACCTACAAGAAATCCTCAAGAAGGCCCTCATACCTGGGAAAAAAAGAGAGAAAGGTGTTACAAAGCACAGAATAAGGAGTTAAATAGATAGAGTCAAAGCAGATAGAAAAATACCCAAGTATAGTATTAAAGACAGGGGTAAAGAAAACACCAAAAACAAAGATAATTTTGTCATTTTAACCACAAACATAACAAAAAATGGAATAAGATGTGAGAAAAACAAGTTAGGAGGGGAAGAGGAAAGAACTGAAGTGGTTTAGTTTAAAGAAATTAGAGGTAATTAGAAAAGGCACTATCTTATCGACAAGATTTTTGAATACAAACCTCAGGGTAACCACTAAACAAAAAGGCAGAACAGAGATACAAATAATAAATAAGCAGAAAACAAAGAAACACAACATAAAAAACTACATAACTCGACCGGTAGACCAAAATAC